TTATTTTGATATATCACAGTGAAAGATTTATCGTCCTCTTTTTTTTTTTTTTTTTTTTTTTTAAAAAAAAAAAAAAAAAAAAAAAAAAAAAAGGATTATAAATTGCTTGTAGTGGTTCATGCGCTAAGGAAGCTGATAGGATTGTTTGTTGGAAGCCAGCCTAGCTACACAGGCCAGCAAGACCTCCTGTCTCAAATATTTTTTTAAGTTTTATTTTAATCTATTAATGAAAATAATTTTTTTAGTTATGATTTTTTTGTCAGAATGTTTTTGTGTGTGAATACACACGTGAGTAGTCTTCATACCACTTCAACTGAAAAAAAATTGTAATGATGATGACATAACTCTTGAATAGTTTAAAAAAATGTATATTATATAAAATGTGCCAAAATAAATAGGCAAATTTGAATAAGTACTTGAATAATTCTTAATAGGTAATATTACTTAAAACTCTTTTACAATTTTGAATTTTTACAAAGCAATTATTTTGAATTTTTACAAAGTAATTAAAATTAAGAAAAAAATAATCTAATAGCTCCTCATTTCACTTAGACTAAATGAAAATGTCCTGACAATTCATTCAAAGGCACTCTACTACAGGTACATAAGACCTCTTATTATTCCTGGCCAGGTGTACTCCATCTTGAGAATTTGCTATTCTGTTTTCTTTTTCACAAAGTGCTCACAAGGCTCATTCTCTCCTAGCCTTCAGGCCTTTCTACTAAACTAGAAGACAAAGGAAAATGTAGGTTCAGTATCTGGAACCAGTGGAGAATATGTGAAAGAGCTACCAAAACAAAGAAAGAACTAACAGCAAAACAGAAACAACAGCCTAACAGAGCTTTTAGAGCTAAGAAAGTATATGACAAACAATCTCATTGTTTGTGTTTGTTCTCATTACTACAGACATAAAATCGGACTCAGGTTTTTTATTGGCAGTTTACCTGTTTCGAGCAGGAGACTTCCCAGCATCCTCTTGAACAGATACAAGTCTTGTTGAAAGAGCAGTATTTGAGGAGTCTGGATGAATCAAACTATAAAGAAAATATGAAAATATTAGGATCATCTGAGACAGTGGATCTAACTTCAATTAGGCATTTCAACATTTAAAAGCAAATTAAATATTTTTCCCTACAACAATGAGATTACAGGTCATTTCTGTCTTTTTTGGGGGGAGGGGGGTCTTTTTGAGACACGGTCTCCCAGTAGCCCCAGCTGGCCTGGAACTATGTAGACCAGGCTGGCCTTGAACTCGCAGAGCTCCGTCTATTTCTGCCTCCCGAGTGCTGGGATAAGAGGTGTGCGCCACCATGCTGGGCTTATTTCTGTTATTTTATTATTATTATTATTCAAAGTAGAAACTGCACCTAATTTTTTTTTTTTTGTCTTTTTGAAGCAGGGTCTCCCTGTAGCCCCAGCTGTCCTGGAACTCACTATGTAGACCAGGCTGGCCTTGAACTCACAGAGATCTGCATGCCTCTGCCTCCCAAGTGCTGGGACTACAGGTGTTTTATCTGAAGCATATTAAATGTCAAAAGAATTGGTAACATTTTAAGCATATGGAATGTCAATAAAACATTAAATTTGCTAGCATGGGTGACTTACAAAACTCTTTTCCATATCACATATATAAGATGCAAGTGATTTGGGTGAGAAATCTGAGTTCCAAAATTCTATTCTCAGTCACCACAACCCACTAAAAGAGCACCATAGAGTCACTCAAATCCAGGTCCTCCTGCAGGCTTTCTCCTTTTACTAGCTGTATGGATGCCTTCAGGTTTATTACTTAATCTTTCTGAACTTTATCACCCACATCTGTCTAAAGGAGAAAAATGGCATCTACCAAAGATATGATGAGTAAAAGAGAAAGAACATTAAACAGTTAACCTAGCACAACTCTGAGCTATTATTCTACCTTGGGTCTATTTTCTATCTTTCATGAAGCTCTCATAAATGATGTGTTTTATTAAATAATCCTTGCCAATTCTGAGTTCAAACAACTGAACCACACACAGATAAAAGGCACTGCTAACTAAAATAAGAAAAACTGAAGAATCTATACTTTGTATTATTAATAAAGAACCTTTTTTAAATTTATAAAATGCACGTATGGTATTAAAAATCATGATGTATGGTATTAAAAATCAAAAGACCCACTGAACAACTTAAGAAAAAAAACCAAAAAGAACCCAATTACCACTGTTTTGAAGTACTTGTGTTCTCCTATCCAATACCATGCTTTTCCCTAATCCCAATGAAACATGAATCATAGATTCGTGTTTATCACAGTTATGGTTAATCTTAACTGTCCATTTGATGGCGTTTACAATCTTCATTGAAACAATCTCTGGGCACATCTCTGAGGAGTTATCTAGATTAAGTTAATCAGATGCAAAGACCCACCTTAAACATGGGCAATACCATTCTATAGGCTGGGGACTCTTAGGGAATAAAAGGGGGAGCAGAGGCATTCATAGCTCTCTTTTTCCTGACTGTGAACACCAGGTAAGCAGCCACATTCTGCTCCTCCTGCTATACCTTCCCTGCCATGGCAGACTGTATCCCCTACAAGTGTAAACCAAAATAAACCCTGTCTTCTACAAATTGCTTTCGTCAGGGATTTTACCAGAGCAAAACCCTGTCTTATTTTGCTTTTAAGTTTCCTTAGCATTTGTATTCCTGGGCATTTATCTTCGTTTTATATACTTCTGAGCATTATATATATGGCATCTTATATGGATATATGATTATGTGACTTCTTTTATCCTCTACTTATATCTCTGGGATTCACTATGTTGAATGCAACTGTAGTATATTTCTTCCTTCTGTTTAAACATATAATATGCTAATTCTGCACTTCATTAAGAAGAAACTAAGAAAATTACTCATCAGAAAAATGTTAGTTCAAATTCCAAGTTCTTTAACATGGTAATATTTACCATTATTTTTAAGGAATTATTTAGCTAAGGAAAATAAGCCAGGTGTGATGGTGAACACCTTTAATCCTGGCACTCAGGAGGCGGAGACAGGCAGATCTCTGTGAGTTCCAGGCCAGCCTGCTCTACATAGGGAGTTCAAGAAAAAGAACCAGAAACTGATGAAACTTGGATTCTGATATAAAGAGTTCTAGGTTAACTTCCATGAAAGAGTTTGTATCATCTACCATCAGCTAGCAAAAGAATATTCAAAATTAAGACATCAAATATTCCTATAGAAGGAAAAAAATATCTAGTTGAATTTGGAAACAAATGCAGATCTTAGGAGCACTCTCCTTTCTTAAAGATTACATTTGGAATTACTAATGTCAATGACGTCTGCTGACTAATCAAATATTGCAAAGATCATATATGTGCCATGAACTTGTGCTTGGTGTCCATGGGAGAAGAGTAAGAAAGGTATAAAGACTCTTCTCTCATGCACTTAAATTTTAATTAGTTCATACCATCAAGGCCCATAAACATCTATGAGGCTTCTGGAAGTGAAATGAACAGAAAGGAGAAAACAGGGAAATTACAGATAACAAAGAAAACAAACGTTAATGAAAAATACAGATCAAGAGACTAAGCATTTCTCAAGTTTAAACAAAATTATATCCAAGTGACAGTACCTTTGCCAGGCTAAATCATCCTCTAAGAATATGTTACGGCTGGCTTTTCTACTCCCAACAGGTGTCCTGGGTTCGCTTGGATCAAGTACAGACACAGAGCAAGCAGAATCTGAAAGAGCATTTAAATCCTCCCCAATGGAATTACTGTCTGTGGAATGAGCATAACTTAAGGCTATTTTTCTACAGTATGTGCAAGCTCGGAGGTCTCCTGGGAGGAAGAAAAAAAATAGAGAAAGGTAGGGTTAATATCTTTCTTAATAAAATATTTTAAATCAGTGTTAATAGGTACTCTAATAACATGAAATGTCTTCAAGTAAAGACCACCAAAAAATACATTTTAAGAAAACAAATACTTTTAGCTGGTTCTGTTATAGACTTTAAGAACCATCACTATGTTAAATTCACCCAAGCATCCAAATTACTTCAAGTATCTGAAATAAGGTAAGAAAATTTTATCCAATAATAATAATAGACAATTCTGTTTATAATATTTTTTCAAAATGTTATCGGTGAAATAAGGGATCTCTCAGAGGCAGGCATTCTACTTACAATGAGAACATTTTTCAATACAGTAAATTGACTTAACCAACAAATGAAAACAACATATTTTCCTTATGCAACAATTGAGGAAAATATTAAGGTCTCTATTATGAAGGTCTGAAAAATGGCTTCAAGAATATGGCACAGGGGCTGGAGAGATGGCTCAGTGGTTAAGAACATTGATTATTCTTGCAGAAGACCCAGGTTCGAATCCTAGCACCCACATGGCTGCTAACAACTGTCCCTAACTCCAGTCCCAGGGGATCTGACAGCCTCTTCTGACCTCCGCAGGCATTGCATGACATGGGTGCACTTACCTATATACAGGCAATACACACATACACAAAAAATAAAAATTATAAATTTTAAAAAAATTTTTAAAAAAAAGAATATGGCACAATTTCTGAAGCTAGTAGGAAATAGTCTTACATACAATATGATATATAGAGGGAAAAACTAAAAGAAATTCTCATAGTAAATGAATAGAAATGAAATATTCAGGCTAAGGGTATACCTCAGTGGTAGAGTGCTTGCCTGAACATGAGACCCTGGATTTGATCCCTAACAATGGAAAAAGAGTTCTTGGAAGGACAACCAAGGTTACTTAATACTTCTAAACATATTTTTCTAGGACACAGTACTGTCCCCAAATGTTATATTTCTACTCTATTTGTATAAAATACTGTTTTGTATGACTTCATAACAATTTAGTGTACTAAGAAATAGGCAAACATATATAGAGCATATAATGGCACCTCAGCTAAAAACAGGCCACACAGTACAAGAGTGGTCTCGTAAGATCATTGTGGGGCTGAGAAATTCTTCTTGCATGGTGATACAGCAGCCATCATAATGACGTAGGGAAAATTACTCACATTTGTGGTGAAACTTACATAAATAAACTTACTGATTTCTAAGTCATAAAAACATATAGACAATTATAATTGTGAATACTTGATAATAAACAACTACATCACTGGTTTCTATCTCTATTATGATTTTTGTCATTATTTTAGAGTATACTCCTTCTACTTACTAAAAAATAAAAATTTACTGTTCTGAGAGGCCATGTTGGTATTTGGAAGGCTGAGGTGGGAAGACAACTCAAGCACAGCCTGGGCAACATAGTGAGACACCATCTTTAAAAACAAAAAGAACCTAGAATACCAGCACTTTGTAGGTGGAGGCAAGAGGATCAGGAATTCAAGACTAGCATGGGCTACTGGACATTTTATCTCAAAAAAACACCAGAGAGATCATGTGAAATGATAAACCAATACTATCTAGGTAATCCTAAGTATACTCTATGATGGTCCCACAAGGACAAAAGCTCCTAGAGATGCATTTCTCAGAACTTAGTCTACCATAAGTGGCAAAGGATTATATTTAACTTTTAATTCACTAAGTAACAAGTTACTTAATCATGCTACCTCACTTATATTTTATTATTGATATTAAAAATCTTAAGCAACAAAAAATATTTCTAAAAGTTCACTATACTATGTTTTTTTCCATAATTACTACCAAGTATAATAAAATTGTCTCATTTCAAGGTAACTATTATATAATACTGAAAAACAAATTATATGTGTATTTTAATCAAAATAAAAGGCCAGTAGTTTACATTACTACTTTCTAACATCACAATTTAATGGATGAAATTTATTAAAACTCCATAAAGAATAATATATTCATTTCAATCAGGACTCAGAAAATAGTAACAAAAAAAGCGAATGTCAGTCTAGAATAAATGAATATGCTATGATAATCATGATCAACTGACCAAAGCTGAATTACAGTATGAAAATGAAATTTCCTTCAATTTTCACAACAGGTTAGACCATAAAGGAAAACTTCTGTAACCAGCCAGCTATTAGAAGGAAAATTATCAAATCAATAAACAGAGCCAAGCCTAACCACAAAATGTTCACTCCAAAAAGAGCATTCATCAGCAAAGAACTACTGAACACATGCTTGCAATTGTGTAATGACAAAGACTGAAGAGATACCTCCCTGTCAGCACAGAATTCATAGTTCACTGGAGGCAACTGACAAATATGTAATTAAAATGCTGCATGACAAATGCAGAGATGTTACTACCAATAACAGCTTAATATTCATTGATCCTGTATAAAATTCATTGATTTTTTTTCTATGTATCAACAGTCTAAGTATTTTATATTTATTCAAGGCTTCAATGTGCTATTATTCTAGTATATATTTCTCATTTGCAATGGTTAATCTTAGGGTTCACTCTGACTACGGAAACTAGTCAAACACTGTAGATGAAGTTTGATTTTGTTGTTTTTTTTTAATGTTATTAATATTTACAATTGATTTTATTTTATTTTTAAGATTTATTTTTATTGGTTTTAATTACGTGTGTTTGTATATGTGAGTATGGGTATGTGCACATGAGTGCAGGTGCCCAAGGAGGCCAGAGGCATCAGATCCCCTGGAGCTGGAGTTGCAAGCAGTTCTGAGTTGCCCAATATGGATGCTGGGAACCAAACTCAGGTCCTCTGCAAGAGCAGTGCTCTTAACCATTAAGTCATCTCCCCAGCCCCTGTAGTTGATGTTAAATACAGGAGATTACTCTCCATAGTATAAATCTTGTCCAATCAGTTGAAGTCCTCAAGCACAAAGACTAAAGATTCCAGAAACAAAAAGGATTCTATCTAAACACTGTTAGATGGAAACCCTACAGAATTTTTATCCTGTTGGCTAGCCCTGATAATTTTAGACTTGCCAGATCCATAAGTATTGAGAAAGTAATGTGAGATTCTCAAACTGCAAGTGAGTGAATTAAAAACAAATTGAAAGAGAATCTTGCATGAAGACAGACAAAAATCAGAGTGACAGTCTGTCTACAAGCTAAACACCAAGGATTGCCAGCAACCAGCAACAGCTGTGCAGAAGTCTAGAATGGATTCATTCTCCCTCAGAGCTTCCAGAACCAACATTGCTAACTCCTTGATTTCAGGATTTCTACAGACTGTGGCCTGCAGAAATGTGAGAAAATAAATATCCATTGTTTTAAGCCAAAATAAGTAAATAAGCAAACAAACCACAAATTGTCAGCTTCAGAGCATGTCTGCTATTAAAGTGAGGACATTTGACTACAAAAAAATAAGACCCTTAAACACTAGAATGGAGATTCATGGGAAAGAGAATGCATCCCAAAACTCTGGATCTTCTACACTATTGGAGCTAGCCTCTTTACCTCATTCAAGATAAATCCTACTTTGTCTAAGAAACCTGTACTAACCTCCCTTGAGTTTGCTGCCAAGAAGACATTTCTAATTCTCCCCTGGAGCAACTTCTACTACCCCTACCCTGCTTCTAGGCCTATGAGACTCAATTCACAAGCAAATCCTGAAATATAGGTAAAAAGTAGCACAAACTGCCTGGCATAGTGGCGCACGCCTTTCATCTCAGCACTGGGAGACAGAGGTGGATGGATCTCTGTGACTTGCAGACCAGCCTGGAGTACATAGTGAGTACCAGACCAGCCAGGGCTATATAATGAGACACCTATGAGGATGTACTGTTCTCTAAAAGAACTACAAAATTTCTATAATTTATAAAGACAAAAAAACAGAGAATCTGTGTGAGAATGGGTGTTGAAGGTATAGCATAATGGTAGAAAGGACATAAAGCTAGACTGAGCCAAATTTAGTAATATGGGTATACTGGGCAGAGACATCAATTTTAATGTCATAGCTCAAGGGGTTAAAATTGAGCTCTTAACAGTCATTATCTGGTTGACTGACTAAAATATAAATCAAAAGGTAGCCTACACTAAATGAAGATGAACTGCCAGAGGTACCCTGGTCCATAATACAGTATAAGAGATCCAAAGACTCAGAACACTGGAATGTTAAAGAGTAGATTTCCACATACACACTCACGCTCCCCTGCCTCTTGCTATATGATGCTCTGCATAGCCCAAGACTCCACCAGCAAGACAGCCATGGCCACTACAGCAGATCAGGTCCCTGGACATACCTCTATAGCTGCCCAAGAATAGGGTTTTTTTGTTGATTTTTTTTTTGGTGGGGGGGGGTCCAATAATAAAATAGGAGTTGGTATATGCTAGATTGGCTGACATGGCCAGGACCACAGAGAAATCAGCACAGCTCACTCTGCTGCTTAATATTTATGGGTTTATTTGATTATGATTCTCACTGGTAATCAAGGCAGCAAGAACCTCTCGGCTCTTTTGTATTTAGAGAAATGCAAAACCCAGAAAATAGCAACTAAAGCAAACACAGGAGTTCCTAATCATCTAAACACTGTAGATGCAGAAATAACTACTGAGACTTAGTTTATTATTTGATTATTAAGTGATACTGACTGATATTTAGAAGGCACAAAAAGACTGCAGCTATAACCTATAATTACTGCTTATGTCGACAAAAATATTAAGCATTTTTTTTTTAATAACAACCTCTTTACATACAACGTCAGGAATTTTTCTATGGATATTTCTATCTTTTCCTACCATTTGTCCATAATAAATTATACCTGGTTATATGTAGAGAGGGAAAATAGAGGATTTACCAAATAACACCTGCTCACTCAACTGGGAAGGCAGACCTTTCAGCACAACCATGAGAAATACATTTGTGAGTAGAGTCCAGTATCCTTGAAGAGCTATGGTTCCTCCTGGGGTTGCTATTCTTTGTACGTTGAAAATTACAGAAGGAACTCTTTGCCACTGAGTCAGGAAGCTGAATTCAATGGAGATAACTGGATCCTGAGGCAGCAGGGACCAAAAGTTGGTATCTTACCCACAAAAATTAAACTGGCATAGGTACCACATACAACAGCATCAAAGTAGTAATCAGAAGAGTCTAATCCAGAGACCTATGGCATTAATCAGATGATCACAGTATCCCTAGAAGTGAAATAGATGAGCAGTCTAGTAATTTTTTTCACTTGTTTTTAATAAAAGGAAGAATTTCAGATCAAGCAGATAAAGACTTGAATCATAAAGGTACTCATGATACCTCAGCTGACTCCCAGACTCAGCCTTTTACAGATCCAGAACTTCTGAATGAAAAGGAAACTGGTTTTTCATGAGGAAGAATCCTACTATAAATTTTGTTAATCTTTTACCAGCTTTTGTCAAAAAATTACAATCTTCTACTAAGGTGACTATAAAAAAGTCATATTAGGCTGGGCGGGCATAGTGGCGCACACCTTTAATCCCAGCACTTGGGAGGCGGAGGCAGAGGAGACGGATCTTTGTGAGTTCAAGGCCAGCCTGGTATACATAGTGAGTGCCAGGACAGCTGGGGCTACAAGGAGACTCTGTCTCCAAAAGACAAAAAAAAAAAAGTCATGTTAAAATGACTACTGAAAAGGGGAAATAAATCATACTTTTCAGGGATTACTAGACACTAACTCTAAACCAACACTAATTCCAGGAGACCCAACCATGACACACCAGTCACAGAAGATCAATGGCATTTTAGCACAGATCCATCTCACAGTGAATTTAGTGGGTCCCCATTTTCTCCCCATTCTGGAATATATAATTGAAATATACACACTCAGCAATGAGCAGAAAACATGCAAACATGCTTTGCTTCCCTAACATATATTATAGCACATCTGGCCTACAGAACTATAAGACAGTAAGAAGTTCTAAGCCATAAAGTTTGTCATGGCAGCCCTAAGAAACTCATACACCCACCCCATTAACCAGACAGATTCTAGCCTAAGCCTTACTAGGAATTTTTAAGTGCATCAGGCAGAGGAATAACCTATATGATCAAACTAACATTTTACAAAGAAGGTTAACTAGAATATGAAAAATGAATTCACAATAAGGAAAAGCTAATTTAATTAAATTAATTAAAAATTAAATTAAACAAAAGTCTTTTAAAAGGTTCTAGTCATAAACTGGGTGAAAGATCATGGGATATGAACTCTGTAGCAACTTAGGTTGAAAGTAAAAACTAGGAGCCAAAGGAAGATCTTTACAATAACAAAAATAACATGAGAAAGATATTACAAGCATTCTCTTGGGCTGAAGTATAGCTCAGTAGTACAATGATTACTAACAGGATGAGTGTTACATAGGACTGTCTGCCAAAAGACCAGACTATGGCCTTCTTCCCAAGCTTGGTTGCACCCACTCGCCTAAGATCATCGCAGCTAAGTTTGTCGACTGTTATGATCCAAAAGAAAGGAGGGGCAGGGAGAGTCAGCCACATGCCCAACAATCAGTCAGCCCTAGTTGCATGTCCTACAGCTGTAGGGAAGTCACAATCCATGCCTGGATGGAGACTTTCCAATGTGTACTTCTTAGGAGAGGAGTACCCACACTCCTGTAAATGTACTCTCACCCACTCCTCTTTAAGAAAGCCCAATAAACTCACTGGTTTTCCAGACTGTAGCTTGGTTTATTATAGGGACCAAAGGAGGAGGGGGCTGGACATAATTTGCACCTCCCAGAAGGAATTTTAGTTAACAATGAAGTTATAGGTTTGATCCTTGCACCATAAACAAACAAATAAGCAGATAAAATTTTTAAACTGCCAGGGGTGTGGTGATATATCTCTGTATACCCACAACGTGTAAGGCTAAGACAGGAAGACTGTTAAGTCAGGGCAATAAAAAGAAAAAGAAGAGCTGGGCGTGGTGGCGCACGCCTTTAATTCCAGCACTTGGGAGGCAGAGGCAGGAGGATCTCTGAGTTCAAGGCCAGCCTGGTCTACACAGTGAGTTCCAGGACAGCTGGGGCTAGAGGGAGACCTTGTCTCAAAAAAAACAAAAAAAAAAAAAGAAAAAGAAAACAAAAGGTGCTATCTTTTGAGTGGCATCTCCCTCCCTTCCACTCCCAAATCACTATATAAATCCACTCATCATTGTTCAACTTTACTCTTGAATTTTCTTCACTAGTACACTTTGATTACCTTCCTTATGAAAGAATATGAGTAAAATACGGTTTGCCAAAGAACAGTATAAGTTATTTATGAATATTCTCATCTATTTTATTATTCAAACATAAATCTCTTAAAATCAGAGGGTAGAGAGATGGCTCAGTGGTTAAGAGCACTGGTTGTTCTTACAGAGGACTAGGGTTTGATTCCCAGCACCCACGTGGGAGCTGGTCCAGTGAATCTGATGCCCTCTTCTGAGCTCCATGAGCAATGCACAACATGGGTGCACCTACCTACCTGCAGGCAATTCATTTATACACATAAAAAATAAAAAGTTCTTAAAATCAAAGCTGTGTCTCACTAGTGTATTCCACTCTCTGAAATATAAAGCCCAAAATAAAAATTGGTTTAATACTGGCCCTCTATTTAACTAGTTCATAGTTATGACCTTGGAAAGCTTATAATACTATCAGTGAAATGCATTTACCTGTATAGCCCATAAACTTTCCAGGGATTTCTTGATTACAACAACGACTGCAGAAAATCTGCCCGCACAGTCGGCAATGGTGTCTGCGCCTAAAGGTTGTAAATTTTTCACTGCAGTCATAGCACTCTTTACATTGGCTATCTGGCATCCAGTACTGCTTCAGGTCACTATCCTGTAACAACAAAAATATGTGATGGAGTCTTGAAAATACTAAGTATTAAGCTGCAATGACAAATAACATCTTAGAAGGTTTCTTTGGCAAAGCTAGTTTTAAAATTCAGATGGAATGTAAAAAGCTAAAATGACCAAGGCAATCTTAAAGAAGAAAAACACTAAAGGACTTAGATTACCCACCGTTAAGATTTATTTTAAAGCTACAATTATCGAGCCTGGCATGGTGGCCAATGCCTTTAAACTCAACACTCAGAAGGCCAAAGCAGGCAGTTCTCTGTGAGATTGAGACCAGCGTGGTCTACGCAGTGAGTTCCAGGCCAGCTGTGGCTATAGGGAGACCCTGTCTCAAAAAAACAAAAATGATAATAATAATAATAATAATAAAAGCTACAATAACAACCTTAAACAGACATTAAGGACAGGAAAAAAAATGGAGCTAATTGTCAGGAAAGAGTAGCATACTCTCACGAACTTATGATGACATTTATAATGCAACTACTGACGGAAGGTCTCTGAGGGCTGGAGAGATGGCTTGCTTAGAGGTTAAGAGTACTGGCTACTCTTGCAGAGGATCCAGGTTCAATTCCCAGCACCCACATGGCAGCTAACAACTGTCTATAACTCCAGTTCCAGGGGATCCAATGCCCTCTTCTGGCCTCCGTGGGCACTGCACAACAATGCACTTTTATACATGCAGGCAAAACAATCATACACACAAAATAAAAATTAATTAATTAAAAACAATATAATAGGTTCAAGTAATCTATGGGGATAAAAGGAAACTTGAATACTATTTATGCACAAAAATAATAAAGCTTGTTGAAGAACCATAGGAAAAGACCTACTGACTAGTAAATAAACAATAAAGTAAAACATAAAAAGCACTAATCATAAAAGGGAAAGCTTACTAAATGAGACAATACTTAAATTAAAAATTCTTATGTGTAAAAATATGGTATTCCAAACTGGAGTAATAAACTTTCTTTTAAGTGGCATTAGTGCCATTTCAGCGGGTATGGTGTGATCCCCATAAGTGTTTAGTAAATCTCCCAAGGCCTCTACAGTACCTGGCTTTTCCCTTCCATGATTTCCTTGAGGCGTTTCAATACTGTGCTGAGGCTTCGAAGCTGAACAGCCGTACGAGGGTCATGACCTCCAAAGGTAGGTTCTGCTTTCCTTCTAGTGTCTGAGTCAAATTTTTTTAAAAAGTAATCTTTTAAATAGTTCCTAGTATTTATATCAAACATTTTATATACATGTGATATAAATTACCCCCTATTATTAGCATGTATTATGTGTTCTCCCAGTCAATAATATGGATTGAGAATTAAAACTGATCTTTATATGAGTAAAAGGTTGTTGAAAGTATGTCTTACTACTATGTAAAACGCTACTCAGAAGTAGTTAGGTGTTACCTAAGATAAGAACTGTCCCAATAATTGACAGTTTTAAGACCTGAGATGAAAGTATCACATGGCCAGAATTTATGAATGATTTTTTTGCATGCTTTGGTACCACCCAAATAAATAGTAAATAAGTGATAGACATTCAACAGAAGAAAAAGCAATCCTAGAGAGCTTAGCTTGATCTTAAAAGTCAAAGAGGTAAGCAATAGGACCAAACAGTTCAGCTTTACAGCAGATCATCAGAAACTTAACAAACTAGTCCCCAAAGATTCTGGCAGACTTTATAAAATCCAGAATGTTCAATTTTGCCATGGCAAAATATGACCAATGTCCATGGAGAGTAAAACTGCTAGAGAATTACTAAAGCTCCAATCCTAGCCTTCCCCTCCTCAACCCTGAAACTCCACACTAGAAGGGATCACTTATACTAGAAATAGCAGTATGAAGCCAAATCTATTAATAATAAACAAGCTCAAATTCCAGTTTTGTAGACAGAATGGAATAGGACTATTATAGTTGCCACTTATTATTTCCTTCCTGTAAACCAAAATTATAAGCAAAGTGTCTACCTATTCCTGGCTCTAGCAGTTTCAAAGCCTCTGGGCAAAATGAACGTAGCTTGACAAAAAAGATGAACATTCTAGTAGCCTAACACATTAACCTAATAACCTATGGAGTCCCCCTAACCTATGTAGTTCCTCCCTATCTCCAGTTTCACTTTCAAGGTTTCAGTTACCCTCAGTCAACTGCAGTCTGAAAATATTAATATCTTTCTTGACTCAAGAGAAACAGATCACATTCACATAATTGATATTGTTATAATTGTGCTAGTTGAGTATCATTGTTATTAATTCCTCTGCCTAATTCATAAATTAAACTTTATCAGAGGTTTCAATGTATAGGAAAAAAACAGTATATCTTGGCTTTGATTGTGTCTATGGCTTCCAGTATCTACTTGGCAATCTTAGAAGGTATGCCCTGCAGACAAGGGGAACTACTATAAAAAGAAAAGTATCCTACCTTGAATCTGCTTCACTATTTGGTAGTTTTTCATGCATGTTTTGTTTTAGATGGGTAGGGGAAAAAAAGGGATTACAAAGAAATGTGAGGTTGATATATGAATCCAATTTCATCAAGAAATTTTTTTTTTTGGCCTTTTGAGAGAGGGTCTCCCTGTAGTCCCAGCTGGCCTAGAACTCGCTATGTAGACCAGGCTGGCCTTGAATTCACAGAGATCCGCCTGCCTCACTAGTGCGCCACCACACCCAGCCATCGAGAATTTCTTAAGGCAATTTAATTACTAAAATAACAACCCTTTTGAACTGCACATATTTTAGAAACTTTGGGGAAAACTTTTTCTATGGTTACACCTTAATTTCAGCATATATCTCAGATGTGTAATACATATTACACATAAAACAACTCTCCATGATTCACAAATTGGAAAAGGAGCCAGATGAAGCTGTAAGAACCATAAGGGCAGTGCTCCCTGACACAGCCAACAATAAATTGTGAAACCCCTTTCATTTAGCTACTTAGAATATAATAGTATTACTAGCCTCATCCACTGGAAAGGATGAGCAGCAGGACCTTTTTTGATCTTCATTGAGGTGAAAGAGACCCTAAGAGAAAATGCTGGTCTGGCTCTTTGCCCTTGGACAAATGATCTTAGCTGTTGCTTTTGTAAAATGGATACTAGGACACTAAGTAACTTCACTAAGATAGGAGAGCTAGTAAACAGAATTACAAACATGAAGTGGGGAAGGGAACTTACTAAGCAGTCTCAAGCTTCTGAAGCTCTAATGCTCCCAAGGAAGAATCCAAGAATCAAGTGGATTTGATATTATAAGGAATGTGGGAACTGTAGTCAAGGAGACAATCCAAGCTCTGTCTACAGATATTTAAGTTAAAATTTATCACAACATCAAAGGCAAAGTTTAGGAAGCCGCCACCCTACAATCTCTAAAAGACTGGATTCTAGTCCAATTCTTCACTTTTATAAGTGAAGAAATGTGGAGACTACTGCTCTCTTTGGCCCCCTTTTCCTCACTCTATAGCAAAGGAAAGCTTGGCATTATTTGAGAAACAAAACATTGAGTTCATCAAAGAGAAGACAATAGATGAAAGTTTCCAGACAACAATGTCTAATTCAGCACAGGATTTAACCAGATAGGCTCCTCAAATGAAAGTGCAGCCATGGGTCAGGTTTTGTTCTTTTGCTCTGTCGGTCTTTTTTCCCTAAGATAGGGTCTCACTATGTAGCCCAGGCTGCCTAAAATGTGCTTGTATTTCCAGGCTGGCTTCAAACTTAGAATCCTCCTGTCTAAGTCAAAGATCATAAGGTTTAAGAGCTAAGGTGAGTTTAATAAGGTTAAGGTTAAACTAGAGATGATCTAAAATAAAAGGAAAACCCACTCTACTCCCTAACCCCCATCTTCCAATTCTTTCTTTCAAAGGGATATGACCTAGACCAATGCTCACTGCCCTAGAAAACCTGTGGAAGCGATACAGCCAGGTCTGTTCACAGACCTTCAGCAAAAAAATCCCCTGCTGCATGCTTTCTCCTCCTTCTATAAGTAGGAAGTCTCAACAAGCATTAAAATATCCCTCTGCCAACCACAACTGCACAACTATTTTTCACTTAAGGCTCTCATAGACATGACTGGCCAAACAGGACAGACACAGAGCCAGGGACACTAGATTCCCAATGATAACCTTTCACCTCTGTTGTACCACTGCCCTTCTTCAACTTTGAGTTGAGCAAAACACTTCATTGAGTTTAACACTCTAACAGAAAGTATACATGAACTGTCTCTAGTCTCTCAGCTCGGACATTGATCCCCAGCCCACAGTCATCAGAAAGGCATGAAAATGAATGAGATGACTATGTCGTGGACCAAGATGGAGAACAAGCAAGCAACAGGTGCTCAGTTTATCCAGCCACACTGACAGTGTGCACCCCAACAAGGCCAAGAGCAGATGACAGTGCACTGATGAGTTTGACAGAGCTCTGCAGCCAGAGGCATGCACATCACACTTCACTAGCATCCCCAAAACAGGTGCAGAATCCATTTGTAACATTGGAACTAACCTGTGCTCTCCTGGGTATGGGGCAAGGTGTTCTCTGTTGAAACCCAAGCAAGTAATGAATCAAAATTCAGTCAAAGACATCTGTACTTGCACAATTAAACTTTAATGACAAGTTTAAGAATTTGTTCCAGGTGTTAAAAACTTCTTTTACTACCTAGGGAACAGTTTTATTTATTCTCAAGAATACTTGACTATTACAAGTAATAAGAAAGTTAAGGCAATAAACAACCTGGAAAATACAATGACTATAGAAAAACCTAACATACAGAGAGGATTAAAAACACTGTTTTACCTAATACAGAAGCACGCCGTTGGAGTTCCTCATTAAGCTGCTTTTTATAAGGTACAGGCGACCTTACAGATTGTGTCCTTGCAGGGAGCTGAGGGCTGGACCAACTTCCACTCGGAGACTGCTGCTCTCCTTGGCCCCCTTCTCTCTCTGTGGTACAGGAAAGTTTGGCATTAACTGAAAAACTAAGACTCAGAGTTCAGCAAAGAGAAGGTGACAATAAAGTATTTCAGACAAGATACACATGTATTATATTCCTAACTTTAACGCTTTGAGAAATTTAAAAATCAGGATGAAATTATACTCCATTTATATACATGAATATACATGTATATATACAACTTTTTATATACATGACTATATGGTTTGCTTTTCATTTGAAATTTTGTGATCACACTAAAGGAGAGAAGCTTTATACACAATCTTGGTCTTTGTATTAATGAAGCAGTATCCAGTAGGGTAGGTACTCATTAAAGCTTCCTAAATAAAGATTATTATGTGATGACAACTTAATGTAATCTATTATCTTGGATGGACTCTATTATATAAAAAATAAAGAAATCTGAATAAAATACATACAACTGTTAATAAAAACATATCAATAATGGTTCATTAATTATAACAAAGTGTATAATGTTAGGTATCAATACTAGAGGAAATGGTGTGAGGGCACAACTCTCCTCAATTTTTCTATAAATCTAAGCCTGTTCTAAAGAGCAAAGTTTTTTTTTTGTTTTGTTTTGTTTTTTTTAAGAAAAAAATCATCTTAAGGGCTGGAGAGATGGCTCAGTGGTTAAGAGGACATGGATTCGATTCCCAGCACCACATGGTAGCTAACAACCCTCTGTTAACTCCAGTTCCAGAGGATCTGACATCTTCTTCGGACCTCCACAGGCACTGCACAACACGGGTGCACCTACCTACATGCAGGCAATACACTCATACACATGAAATAAAAAAATAATAAATAAAATATTTTTTAAAAACCATCTTAAAAATGTGCTATCAGTTTTTACAGCACTTTAAACAATTAATAAAATTTAGAACTATTAAAATGTCTACTAGTTAAACTATTAAACCTCCTCAAATTCCTTAAAACAAGGATTATTTTCTAACACATTTCGACTAATAAAGACAAATTAAGTCAAGCATGGTAGCTCACACCTGTAATCCCAGCTCTCAGAAGACTGATACAGGATAATACCCATATGTTGAAGGATACAGGCATCTGAGGCTAGCCTGAGATAAAGTGAGATCTAGTCTCAAAAAAAACAAAGAACAAATTAAAGGCAAAAGACATGGCTTTTTAAAAAATTTTTCTTCCTGCTTAAAAATAGTAACATTTAAGAAGACTTCATTTTATATTATCTACAGTTTAATCTAACGGGTATAAGTCTCTGCAGGCCTGCTGATAGCTTCTAATTTTAAAAGTATAAATCACTTATTATTCTGTTTAATTTTGTTGTTTTAATTAAAATCGTTTTGTTATTAGCACCTCCATTAAAAAAAAAGTTCATTCTGTGAACCTGAGAAAGTATCAGCACATTAAAAAAAAAATATGTGAAAATAAAAATTTTTAAAAAATGCTTTCTCTTCAAAAAGGGACATCATTTGGCATTTAGTATTAATTCAGGCAAGTAGTAAGTGAGATTACAGTACAAATGCTACTTTTTTCTCTTTCTTAGGCAGAAGATCTGGTGACCTATGAAGAAAGCTATCACCTTGTTAATGTTTCACTTTCTTGCAAAGACCCAGCACAGATACTGAGTAAGGAAATCACAGAAGTAAAACTGCCAAGTTTTCTGATCTAAGTTTTCTGATCTTTTAAGAGTAAGTCTTACCTTTGTTAAAACGAAAAAGATTTACAAAAGAACTATACGCTGACTTAAAAGGGGGTTCATCCTGCTCAGGAGTCAAAGGTTTAAAGTGGGTGAGGTGAGAAGGACTGGTGGGAGAGCGAGGCAGGTCACTAGCAGAGTCCAGGGTTGGGGAACGCTTATCATCTGTGGCCATTTCATGAGTCTAAAACGAGAAAAAGAAAAAAGGAAAAAAATCTTCAGATGCCATTCCAAACAACAGGCAAGTATCTGGAAAACCCTACTATGGACAATTCTCTATGAAAGCCGTATTTAAATTCAAGTTTAAAAAAAAACACTACTGTTTAAATAAAGAATCGCAACACATAAAACTATGGCTACATGGCCAACTTAATTTTAAACATTACTATTCTAATTATTTTAAATTTTTAAGTGAGGGGCTACAGAGATAGCTCTGTGGTTAAGAGCTGGTCTTCTAAAGGACCTGGGTTCAGTTCCCAGCACTCACATGGTAGCTCACAATCAACTATAACTCCAGTTCCAGGGGCTCCAATGCCCTCTTCTGGCCTCTGTGGACATTGCAAGACATGGGTGCACTTAGATACATGTAGGCAATACATTCACACATATAAAATATAATTTTATTTTACTAATTTAATTAAAAATTTGCAGGTAAGACACAAATGTGAAGAAGAAAAAAATCTTCACATTATTTACATATCTAGTTTTTTGAGGGGGCAAAAGTTATATTCAATAGCTTCTTAAAGTTAGAGAAAGTGATTCTATACAAGCATATAAATTCCTCAGTTTTATTTTACTTATTTCAACTTCTGACTTTAAAAAATACCATATTATATTCCAAGAAAAGACAACTGGTCATTTTTTAATGATCTCTATATATCATTAAACATATCAACAGTTAGCTCAGATAATGCCTTTGACAAGTATTCAAGATCAACAAGCTGTATATCTACCACAGGTTTCTTGGACACATGAACTCTGGATTCCTAGCCCCTACACCTAAGGCTTAAACTCTTACAGACATTAAGATAACAACCTTCTTAAAGGTTTTGTGTTTTTTTTTCCTAAACAGCCAAAAAACAACTTGGTCAAGACACCAAGTCTAATTACCAAATGGAAGTCATAAAAAGGCACTAAGGTCAATGTTTACCCTTCAGACTGATAGTTTAAAGACAAGAACCCTGTGGCACTCTATTCATTAGGATATATAGTGTATATTCTAATAAGCATTACAAAGAAGACATTACATTCCCCTAAAATGTTTTTCTCCTTCAATATCACATCTACCAGTTCATTTTATTTTCATACCATTCCTGGAAGCCTTATTACTACATTTTACCACTGGGACAACCAAGGTACACAGAACCTAAAACTATTTTCTTAGAGTATCACAAAGGCAATTAGTAACAGACTTATGACTACACCCCAAGTCTTGCCATGAAATTCTTCTATAAACTAAAATTATTTCTGTAGCTCTTCCAATTCTAGCCTACTATATTCTCTTAAAACAAGATGTTCTCAGAGTAGTAATTTCACTGAATAATAAAGTAAGGCAGAAATGAAACTTGGATACTTGGATAATCTGATTTGGGCAGTGCTTATTCGAAAGGATGGGGAGAAGGGGGAAAAGGAAAAGAAGAGGAAAGCAGAGGAATGAGGGAAGAGGAAGGTCTGAAGGAGGAAGGGCTCTAGTATCATCTTCAACTGGAAAGATGATACAAAGTATCACACCAGTCTATGCTCCAGCAGAAAGAGTTAGGAAATAAAACGGTGATTGATCAAGCATAAACTCTGAAGTTTTTGTTTCATCTTGTCTTAGAGCACTGGAGAGAGGAATGTAATGGCAATAAAACCCCTCAAGCTTCTAAATGTAGCCTGTACTCTTCTTCCATGAAAGGACCATCAAAAGTGCAGCTACCAATCTGCCTAAAGAGCCTTAAAATTATGTCTAAAGGTCATCAATACCCAGAATTTTCATGAAGCTTTAAGAATATGAAGATACAAATTATCAGGAAAGCACATAGCAAGTCTACCCATTGAAGCATACCACATAGAATTAATGACACCAGCATCCTAAAAGAAAAAAATACAACTCTCGTGTCTAGCAGCATAATAACCATGTACGGTATAAAGTATGTCTCTTTCCTCATAATTAAAAATATTAACCAGCTTACCACAAGCCTCTAATATGTCACCAATAGTTTACCTCTTCATTTCAAGGCTAGTGTGGTACATGCAGACTTGCTACACGGAATCTTGATAAAGCACATCAAAAGACTAATCAGATATTAAAATGTATCAAATAAGCTGATTTATTAGCTCATATAAAATTTTTAGATGAAAATTCCAAGTTGTCAGCCTAGTCGTTTCTAGGGACAGTGTTTTCCTAATTCTAAACTTTGATCTAACATGCACAAAGGTGAATACAAGTAAAGTGAGCTTCCATCAAGAAAGTTTTTTTAATTTTTGATCCAGGCATAACAAATACACTACAGGAAAACCACAACATGATCCCTACAAATCTTCAGAAAAGAGGAAAAAAGGACTCAGGAAATTACTCTTCCTGCTCAGAGAAGACTAAGACGTGGCCTGCAAAAACTCTGTCACAAGCCCAAATCTAAGCGAAACTAAGAACCTCTGGGGAGTGTGTGTGTGTGTGTGTGTGTGTGTAAAACTAGTAAGAATGGGAGTTCTGGAGTGCCAGAAAATGGGATTTAATTAACCTGGAAACAAGAATTTGCTTGGCGACTTCCTCTGTGACTATCATACTAATTTCACAACACAGGATCAATCCTTGATTAACGTATTGCATCGGACAGGTAATAACCTTCTCTATACAGAATTCGCATCTTCACTGAATGTCTTAAGAATAACATCTAAACTGGACAGAAGACCCCCCCAAATTCCTAAAAGCATCCACGTTTCATTTTCATCCTTTTCTGGAGAACATTCTGGGAAAGGGGGAACTAACTACTCATTGGGAAATCGTCTTCCCGAAAACAAAAGACTCAAGTTGATATGGAATCGCCCAGATGGCAGAAACAAGCGTTTATGGAGAAAGATGTTTGGAACCCCAAGATTGAATGCAAAGAACTTTCTTTCCCAGCCTTGGGATGCATCTCTCAGACTCAGCTCACACACGCGAAAGCAGATGGACCGTCCACCTCCGAATTAAGTTCGGGCCTTGCGAGAAGCAAAGGAGCAAGAGAACTTTCTGGAGTCACGGAAACTTCCACACTCTACACCCAGGGCGGGCGGGAATCCGAAGCCGGCTGGTTCCAATCCGGTCCTCCGCGCTCCGTCGCAGGCCTCCCACCCCAGCCTCAGCCTTCCCTCCCGCGGAGCGCGCGCCCCACGCCGGCCTTCCTCCAACTGCGGCCCGGCGGACCCACGACAGGCCGCCTCCCTTACCTTCGCCTCCCGCCCCGGCCCCGCCGGCCTCCCGCCACCCCAGCCTCCGCTTCGCCCCGCTCACGCAGGGAGCCAGAGGCTTTCCCAGGGCAACGGCGGTTGAGCCAGGAAGCAAAGCTGCTTCCTTGGTTGCTGCGGCTTCTCGCTGCCTCCCACCGTCCCCGAGACTCCGCCCCCGTCCTCCTCCCCACCAGTCAGCAACCTCTCCTGAGGGCAGGCTCCACCCTCCGCTCGCCGCCCGCCTGACGTTCCGATCAGATGTTCAGGCAGAAGGAGTCTACCCCAGAAAACTCGTCCTCGGCCTTTGGGAGGAATGTTAGGCCACCTAAGACTTCCTAGTGGAAGCCTGGACAACACTACGCGTGAGCATCACGCGTGCAGGTGACTGGGTGGGTCCTGGACGCGCTGGCACGGGCGCAAGCCGGACGCCGTTACCGTATGTGGTCTACACCGTGAGCACTCACAATATGAGCCTGAGCCCCGAGTTCTCGTAGCCTGGCGTTCGCCTGTGTAGCCCAGAGGGAAGAGGCGGATAGCAGACTTGAAAGACTCCACCAAAATCCAGCCCTATGACCTTAAACAGTTTGCTAATTTCTTTAGACCTCAGACTCTTGGTGTATAAAAGCGGGTTAATTATAACAGCCTTCATACACACTTTTTCTTTATGTGTATAAATGTGTTGCCTGCATATGTGTAAGTGAACCTGTGTCGTTCAATGCCCGTGGAGGTCAGAAGAAGGCACAGGACCCCCTGGAACTTGAATTACTTAGCTGTCTTGTGGGTGCTGGGAGCCGAACTCAGATGGATTTTATCTGTAGAGGTGTGTGTGTGTGTGTGTGTAAGTATCCACCCCTAAACCATCCAAGCTCACATGATTCTTGCTGAGCTGGATGGTACTATGGTACTATACTCACATGTTTCTATAGGTCTTAATTACATTATACTGAAAATTAATAGCTTTTTCTTCTCTTTCATTATATTGATTAGTATCAAAATGGGTTTTTTCTTTCAGTATGCAATACTTCAGTACTACCACTGTTCATGTTAATGAACAAAACAATGAATTTGTTAATGATTTGGCCAGTGGGAGCCCGTCAAGAAAACTCCTGAGTCCATTTAACCTGTTTCTGTCACTTTTTGACTACTACATTTCCATTTCATATTTTTCCTCTCATCTCCCCAGCCCCAACATTCTCCTCTCTCCTAGGATCATCTTTTTTATGATTCTGTGTATGAACCAGGTCTTTCTGTGCCTGGTTCATTTCACTTAATGCATATCCTGCAGATACATCTATGTTGTCACAAATGGGAAGATTTCCTTCTTTGAAATTTTAAAAATTTATTTTTAAAATTGTGTGTGTGTGTGTGTGTGTGTGTGTGAATTCGGGGGGGTGCACACATGTGTGCAGGTGCCCATGGAGGCCAGAGGTCAGCCTCAAGTGTTGTTCTTCACTTACCACATACCTTGTTTTTGAGACAGGGTCTTTCATTGGCCTGGAGCTCAGCAGGTATGCTAGGCTAGCTGGCCAGATGCTTCAGGGACCACCTGTCTCCACCTCCCCCCCAAGCACTACATGCATGTACCACCATGACTGACTTTTTTATATGGGTTCTAGGGATCAGATTCAGCTCTTCATCCTTTACCAATTGCACCATCACTCCAGCCCATGATATCCTTCATTTATGAAGCTGAATTGTATTATGCAGGGTATACACACCATATTTTCTTTATCTGTTCCTTCAGTGGTGGGTACTTGGGTTGATAACGCATTTTGGTTGTGAGAAATTCTGCAATGAATATAAATGTGTAGATACCTATCTCTTCAACATATTGATTTCATTTCTTTTTTATATATACACAAAAGTGGAATCGCTGACTTATATGGTGTTTCTATTCTCAATTTTTTGAGGAACTTCTCTACTACTTTCCATAATGGCCGTACTAATGGCCTGTTCCCACAAATGACTTGCAAGAGTTCCCTTTTCTCCACTCCCTGAAAACAATACTTGTTATCTTATAATAACAGCCATTTAAGCAGACATGAGGTTATATTTCTGTGTGGTTTTAATTTACATTTTTCTGGTGGTGATGTTTGTCATTTTTCATGTATCTTTTGGATGTTTGCTTATTTATACCCATTTTATAATTGAGTTGTTTTTTCACTATTGGGTGGAATTCCTCATATCCTTTGGATAATGGTACCTTACCATATGTATGGTTTGCAAATATTCTCTACCATTCCATAGATTATCTTTTTATAGCTTTCTAGGAGCCTTTTGTTTTAATATGATCCTATTTATGTATTTTGCTTTTATTACCTGAGCTTTTGGGTCATACCCCAAAACTTGCCCAGACCAGTGCCCCTTGTGTTTTCTTCTTCTACTAATTTTTCATTTTCAGGCCTTACATTTAGTTATTTAATTCAGTTTGAATTGATTTTTAATATAGTGTGAAATATGGATCTAATTTCATTGTCATGCAAGTGGGAAACCTGTTTTTCCAATAACATTCGTTGAACAGACTGTCCTTTCCCCACTGTGTGTTCTTGGTAATTTTCTGAATAATCAATTTACCAGAAATGAATGGATTTCTTTCTGGTCTCTCTATTCTATTTCATTGGTATATGTGTTTTTGTTTTCTTTTGGCATTTTGTTTTTGTTGTGGGGTGTTTTGTTGTTGCTATTGTTGTTAAAACAGGTCCCACTCTATAACCCTGATTAGCTTAGAACTCAATGCAGAGCAGGCTGTCCTCAAACTCAGAGATCCACCTGCCTCTGCCTCCTGAGTAGTGAAATTAAAGGCATGCATTAAGGATCACACTGTTTTGATTACCATAGCCTTGTAGCATGCTTTGAAGTCAGGTGGTATGTGAGGCTTCCAGCTTCTTTTTATTACTCTGACGATCTGGGATCTTTTGTAGTTATACAAAAATTTTGGCGTGCATGCGTGTGTGTGTGTGTGTGTGTGTGTGTGTATTTCTGTAAAAAAAAAAGTGAGAAGCATTGGGGGGGGCGGATAATCGGAGAGAGGGTCTGTGTAGCCAAAGCTGGCCTCAAACTGGAGACTGTCCTGCCTTACCTCTCCAGTGCTGGGTTTTCAGGATGTGAAACACCGTGCATGCCCAGCTCAAGAATTTTTAAACTGACTGCATTAAAACTGCAGATTACTCTGAACAGTACACACATCTTCCAGTCCATGCACACAGAATGTACTCCTAGGTAAAGTCATAGACTATGTCTTTATTATATTTTATAGTCAATGTCTTTCACCTGTGTTCTGTAGTTTTCAGTGTCACCTTTTTTAGTTAAGTTTACTTCTAAGTATTTTAAATTTTTGAAACTCTTGTCAATAAGATTATTTTCTCAATCTCTTTTAGATCCATTCTAATCCATACAAATGACCAGCAAGTCATTTGTAGTCACACAATGGCAAATTGCATAACCATCAAAAATTGTGTTTTCTAGCTAGATATGTTAGTATAATAACTGTAATCCTATCACTTGGGAGGTGGAAGCAAGAGGATCAGGAGGTCAAGGCCTGCCTGGGCTACATGAGATCATCTTTTTTTGGTTAAGAACACTGGTTGTTCTTGCAGAAGACCTGGGTTTGAATCCCAGCACCCACATGGCAGCTAGCAACTGTCTGTAACTCCAGTCCCAAGGGATCCGACAGCCTCTTCTGACCTCTGCAGGCATTGCACGACACGGGTGCACTTACCTAAATGCAGGCAATACACGCATACACATAAAATTAAAAAATAATTTTTTTTTAAAAAAGGTGTTTTCTTCACAATCGTCTTTCTTGAAAAGGTATTCTGGTCTTCTTTCCCATCTAGCATGACTTCTCTCTGAATCATTTTAGAATCATGCTACTAAAGTGCACTCACCAGGTGTTCCTACTTGCCAACCTCTTTTCAGGCTCTATCTTTATCCTATCTTTCTGAGAACTTCCTCCTTTCTGAAAATTTTCTCAGCCATTGGCTTCCATGACTTCAGACTCTGCTGCTTCCCCTGCATTCCCCAGCCCATATTCTCATTCTCCAAGGTGTGAGTAGGGAGGGATTCTCTTCTCTTCTGCTGGACCTTAAATATGTACATATGCCTCAGGGTTCTTGCTGAGGTGGGCTTTTCTTGACTTTCTACTGGATGTGTTCAAATGCTATGAGCACATGTTAAAGATTCCCACATTTCTGCCTCAGCCCAGCCACCCCTGTTGAGCTCCAGATATATGTGGCTGGCTGCCTCCTGGACATCACCATTGTGCTGTCCCACAGGCATTTCATAGTCAACAAATCCTTAAACTTAACTGGCTAGCTTGGCCATTAAATCTGACTCTCTTTCTTGACGGATAACCTGTCTCCCAACCCCATGTCCAGTAGTCTCCTTTGCTGTTCTCTCGCCCATAATCTTCATAGATAAGTAATAATGAAGTTCTATTACTCCCATTTCATTAAAAAAAATTTTATTTATTAATTTTTTTTTACATTGTGTGCGTGTGAGAGTAAGGAGTGGGCTACTAGTGTGGAGGTGAGAAGACCTCCTTTCATAATGTGGGTTCTGGGGACCAAATGGAAGTGTCAGGCTTAGTGGCAAGTGCCTTTACCCATAGAGCCATCTCGCCAGCCCACCAACTCATTTTTTTGGATCATCAAAGTGGAAAGACAATAGCCTTAGAATTTTATGAGAATCCCATCATCTAAATCAGAGTCTCATAACCAAATGTTCACAAATATTTCATGACACAGGTTTCCATTTGTGTTTACAAGAGTGTTTGGGACCAGCTCTTGTTAAAATATTCAATATTCTCAATATTCTCTTATTGAAGAAATGAAAAACAAGTAACAAGTCATGCAATATTAACAAAACAGAAACATGGTGAGCTAAGTGAATGTAAGCCGTGTGCTTCGTGTTTACATTTTAAGCAGTAATTTTTAAATAATTTTATTGCATTTTTATGTATTTCATACATAAAATCATCTTTATGCACCCTTCCTCCTTCTCCTTTGGCACCCTCCCATAGGTCCCCCACTGGAGTTCATACATTCTGTCATTTGTATTAAGACCTATTATGTAAGGAGGGCTGTGTTCCTCTCCCAATTGCTTAGAGCCAGATTTTTCAACCCATATCTACCAAATATTTAGGGATTGATAGAAGATGTTTCATGGCTAAACTCACCTCGGTTCTGTATAATAGCTTATATATTTTTTTACCTTTCCTCATCTATAATCAGTACTTCTTATTGTGCTGTATGTATTTTGAATTCTTTCTAGAAAAGGATAAATATGTAAAACTAATATGATATGAAGTAAAATTTACAATCTCACATGATTTAGGGTATGAGATTCAAGGTGAAAAATAAACTCCTATAATACACCTCTCTAATCAGGAATAAATGGAGGTGGCCACTCATATTCAGTTAGTCCCCATCCTTACAAGCATGTGTGCACTCTTCCTTTGACAAGTAGGGAAATGCTAGCGCCCTCCTGTGTCCAAACTCACGTTTCCATTATCTTCAAACCGTAACTACAAATCCAACGATAGGGATTTTAAAAGTGAATTTTGGAGCTCTGACTCTTGGGCAGTCAAAGATCTGAGATCCTATGTACCACAATATAAAACACTATTTTTCCTTTTTTCAAGTCTAAGGGAATACAGAGAGGGAAATAAAATCACTGGGGCAGACAGGAATTTTTTTTAAACCCATCTCTACTGCAACTTCCTTGGAACCCTGATAATAATCTTCATTATCTCCTAAGACTAATAACGAACGGGAGTTTTTTTTATAGTAAGAGTAATAACTGGAAATACAGCTCATTGGTGGTGGTGGCTGCCGGTTCATCCTTTGCATTCCAGCAACATCTAGAGTCCCCCGCCTTTGAGACCCTCCAAGGCACATTCTTCAAAAGGCACATTCCAGTCTAAGAAACATCAAACACCAAAAAGGAAACCTAAAATCTAGTCTGGAGAGCGCGATCTCCCGTAAGCCTCAGCGGCGGATCACACTCACTCTCGGATTCCCTAGGAGGCCTGGGACACCGCGCGGGAGCGCATCCGCTCCCCCGCCTGCAGGTGGCATGCACGTTCCTCAGCAGCAGGGAGTTCCAGCGGAATCCCAGCAGCCCGGCGGCCCCTTCCCCCCACCTGGAGCTCAGGGAAAGCTGCAACCTGGACACCGACCCCACGGTGTGGCCCCGCCCATATCAGTGGCTCCGCCCACCCTGGGGAAACTGGCACGCGGCGATTGGCGCCGCGGAGGGGGCGGGGCCCCGGGAGGTGGACTGAGGGGGTGGGGCTCGGGAGGGGACAAAAGCCGGGAAGAGGAAAAGCCCGGACCCTGCCACTAGGCTCCAGTCTGTGCCGAGGTGGTGGAGGCTGGGCCCGCTGGGGCCGGGTTGGGAGTGTGTGCGCCCACCGAGTGTGAGCCGGTGAGTAGCTGGAGCGCCCCGGGCTGCAAGCCGGCGCTCCTTCCCGTGCGGACCCGGGCTTCCAAAGGACGGCCACCGCCCCTGGCTGTGAAAGGAGGCTTTTCCTTAGAAGGCTGGAATGGGTAAAAGGAAGAAAGCTCAGATGTTGGCTGTGCAGGGATGAGCTTAGCGGCAAGGCCTGGGTGCACCGAAGGGGCAGATTCAGGGTTTGAGCGTTGGGAAGGGAAATGGGAGTGGGGGGCACTGCGTGCCTGGATGCGCGCTCTTGTGCATGGGAGGGGGAGATTGGATGGTGAGGACGTTGCATGCTGTGACAAGTGGCAAACTATCTGCACGCTTGGAGGAGAATCGAGCGGGGGGGGGGACGCACAGAGCACCGAGTCTTGAGTGTAAGATAGCGGGGAGCTGGGTGCAAGCCTGGGACTTGGGCTTTTACTGAACACTCAGCAGGGGCGGGGTTGGAGGGAAGGGACCCGCGGTGAGGCCAGCGGGATGCAGGCTTACGCCTGGGGGGCATAGGGGGCGGGGCTCCGGCTTCCTTCTGGAGCTTTTGCTTGGCCACCCGGGGGCTCCCCGAGGATTGGGAGAGACCCTTTCCCCCTTCCCTTCCCCACCTCCGTTGGAATTCAAGTTCTGGAATGGGCGTTCCCCAGCCAGCTGGGTGAACCCGGGATTAAAGGTCCAGGAACCACCGAGGGAAGGGGCAGACGTGGGGATCTGGAAGGAGGACCCGAGCCAACTTCGGTTGCAGACTCTTGCACAATGCCCGCAAAGATATCTGCTAGCTCACAGTGTCACCCAAGGACGAGCAAGCCCCAAGACCCGCTAAAAGCCAAGGAGCCTGGAGCGTGCAGTCAGACTCACCCTCCGGTGTGTGCACACGCACACATAGTTGGACTCCTTGAATTTTATTTGGAAGGTGCCTGCGCTCCGGACCTTAAATCGTCCTTTGACCCTCTGGATACACTCAGCACTGTACTTTAAACCAGATAAACTAGGCTGTCCGGCTGGCATTAAAAACAGCTAAGTCCCTCTGGCAGGGTTTTGGATGGTAAGGCTTTCTGTTCCCGGTTTTGCTTTGTTTTAGGAGATAAACTGAAACTACAGTTCTTTGAGTCTGCAAAATTGGGAGTAGTTGTGACTGAAAAGCAATTCACCAGAAAGGTGAGAATTAGCAATGTCCCCTCCTCTGTGCTTTCTTTGATGTGGCCTTACTATACAGTTAATTGGTCTAGGGAGCAAGTGTAGGCACTGCAAGAGAGGGAAGCAGGAATATTTCCAGCAACACATTGCAATTGCTTCCTTGTTTCTTTTGGTCCTGTGTCTTCTCTGCAAGTCTTGTAGTCTAGAAATCATTGTAGTTCTTGAACTCAGCTGGGAGAAAATTGGCTAGGCCCTTGAGATTAATGAAAATAAAATTAAATAAGGCAAAGGGCTCTTATTGCTCAAACTACTCTGTATTATGATTCCATGCTTATTTTCTGGAGTTTCACAAGCACATCAGGAGACTGAAGTTAGCTGCCTTCATACTATGTAAATGGACTGGTGGCTGTTGGGCTTGGAACACAGCTTCCTTCAAAAGTTGGGGTTGGGTGGAGATCGAAAACCTGAGGCCCAAGGATGCAGGAAATCTGGGGGAATCTGAAGCCCACCCATTCCACATGCCAAGTGTAATAATAATCTACATTATAGTCACAATACAGCTTCACTATTTTAATTAAAAGTGCTGAAAACTAATAGGTAGATAATGTGAAGAAAATCTGAAATATATCCCTTACACATTGGGAGGTGTAGAAAGATTATGGCAGAGTATGTGTTTACCAAAAATGAAATAATGAGTTTTTGTTGTTTTTTTTAGCTGCAGACATTCCAGGCAGTATGAGCTTTTATTTACTGTATTTGCCACCAAGGAAAAATAGCCAAGTCATAACTGTTGCATAATGCTGTGTAGGAACATGGCCACAAAAATGTATTATCGAAACCGAGATAAGTTCGCTGCCTCCTTCCCTGTTTCATTTTGTTTGCTTTTAAAGCACGATGAGGTGTGACAATGGGATAGATTATGACTTTATGCTCTACTCTAAGTTATTCTTTAAATTCCTGATGGAAGGAATTGATTTGTCCACACTGGTTTGTTGATTTCTTCTAGCCAAGTTCCAGAAAGTTTCCCTAGTAATAAATAGACTAGGGTACCTTCTTAACATGAGGAAGCTGAATTCTAGAATTGCAAATCTGGAAGGTAGAAAATGAGACTGAGAGTTGGGAATAGATCCTGGCTTGTTAGAAGGAACTTATATGGACCGTCCAATAGTGTCTTTACATTTTTTCATTCAAAAGTTAAATTAGTTTAAACTTTTCAGGACAGTTTTAGGTTGTTATCTAATAATGGTTTTAAAGCATCTTGATTTTGCTGAGTCTCAGCTCTAAAAGCAATCTGCAGTTATATTTCTGGGAAAGAAAGTGTCTATTATAGTGTTCTAAGAAGGAGCAGATACTTGTAGCAGCTCCAGGCCTTTTCAGCCTGGAACAAGCATGGCTTTCTTTAAAGCCTCTCAGTTTCTCTTCTTCCGGTACTCCACCTTTACCCTTTTTTGGAAGCAGATTATTTACTATTTTTAAAAGTGATGTATCTCCTTCTAATAGTGGGAGTGTCCTGTTCTCCTAGCAGCCTTCTCTTGCCCCTGAGCAGCCAGAGGAACGTACAGGATTTGGGATACCAAGGAACATGACAGAAATGAGCTTGGGTCCTAGGTAGGGCCCTTCTGTATCCAGATTTCTCTAACAAATCACTTACCATGGTATCTTTAGGAAAACAGAGTGCTACCAGGAACTCTTCTTGTCCACCTTTAAGTTTCCCTGAACATGGGTCGTAAGAACTAGTTGGAATGTCACTGTGGTAATACAGATCTCCGTTTGTGAGACAATAAATAGTTGAGAATAATGATTGTATTAATAAAGGCCTGTTTTAGGGTCTGGCTCCCTGACACTGCAGCCAGGTAGTCTTGGCAAAGCTTTTTTTTCTCTTCAAGTGGGAAAATAATTCCTTATAAGTTGTCTTATAGGATTGACTCAGAAACCACATGTAAAGCACTGTAGTATGATGCCTCGTACAGAGAAGGTGCTCAGTTCTGCTAGTAAATGTAATAGTTGTTACTGTTTACACAGTGTGCTATTATGAATTGGTTGTTTAGTCACTAAATTGATGATATTTCATTTCTATTATAATGAAATGAGCTAAGCTGATAAATCTCTCTCTCTCTCTCTCTCTCTCTCTCTCTCTCTCTCTCTCTCTCTCTTTAGGTTTATTGAAGTAAAAATGTCCAAAAAAATCCATGGCGGTTCTGTGGTAGAGATGCAAGGAGATGAAATGACACGAATCATTTGGGAACTGATTAAAGAAAAACTCATTTTTCCCTATGTGGAATTGGATCTGCATAGGTAACTGAATTACTCTTCCATATAAGGTAGCAAACTTGGAAACATAATCTAAGTTATTTCAGGATATAGCTAGCATTTGTTTACATAGATATTGCTGTGTTTTGTGAATAAGCTTCTAGGAATTTTTTTGTTGAATGCACAGGAATCTTCCTGTTTCAGTGCCCCAAATGCCATCTACCATCATGCCTAACCCAAACTGAAATACATTCAGATGAATCTTATTTTTTCATTTTTTTAAATTTATTTATCTCTGTGTGTATCTGTGTACACATGCACATGCCACAGCATGACTGCGGAGGTCAGAGGACAATTTGTGGAAGCAGATTTTGTCCTTCTACCGTGTGGGTTCTGGGAATCACACTCAGGCTGACAGGGTTGGCAACAAACACCTTTACCTGCTGAGCCATCTTGCCAGCCCTTGGGTGAATCTTCTGTTGTAACGTACTGTTAGGAAAAATGGGCTTATCATTATTGAAGTTAGGAATTGTAACACAACAAGATTCAGGCATTTCTAACTCTTTCCTGTAAAGGTTATTCTAATAAATAAGCAGCCAAGAGAAGCACAGTATATTATTTGTGAAGGAAAAAAGAATACAGAATGTAAGAAAAATTAAACTAAATGTGGAGAACTCAGTTTTGTCCTTTCATACTGGCTCTTCTATTACTCTAATTAGTCAGTGGGTAGAATTCTTTCTTTTCATTCCATATCTTTTGCTCTTTTCATACAATTGTAGCTCAGAAAGAAACCTTGCAGTTAGTTATCAGAATACACACCTTCTAAAACTAGTCCCCTCACCTGTGTCCTTTTGCCTGTGTTTGCTGTGTTTAGAGACAGATTTGAAAGTGTGTCATTCCCTCCTTTTCCCCACATGTTCTTCAGAAGTTTGCTTCTGCTCTTGGTACATTTGAACTACACAAAGACAATTTTTAAAAGGATGAAGTAACCAAAGACTGGTGTGCTATAATATTGAGGAACATATTTCAGGCATCTGTATGTTTGACCCAGAATTACTCAACAGCATGTCCTGTTACTTAGTTGGGATTAGATATTTAGTTCACACTGCATCCCTCGATACCTAGATAATCCTAAACCAAAGCTGATGATACTGTCTGTATTGTAACTAAAATAAGGAATCAATGCTGAAGAGGGTTCCCTAAACTAAAGAAAAGGAAGCATTAAAAAACAGCTTCCAAGTGAGTTAAAAAAAAGGGTTTTAAAAACATTTCCTTTGGCTGGGTGTGGTGATGCACCCCTTTAATCCCAGCACTCAGGAGGCAGATGCAGGGGGATCTCTGTGAGTACCAGGCTAACTGGAGACTCTGTCTCAAAAAGACCAAAAAGAGAGAGAGAGAGAGAGAGAGAGAGAGAAAGAAAGAAAGAAAGAAAGAAAGAAAGAAAGAAAGAAAGAAAGACTTTTCAAAGCTTTGCATGGCAATGGGTAAACCCTAGGGGCTCTTTTTTCATTTTTTTGCTTTCGGATTTTTTAGAGACAAGATCTCTTACCATATATCCCTGGCCAGCCTGGAACTCACTATGTAAACCAGGCTGGTCTGGAGCTCATGCACCACTACACACAGCTAAATGCTTGGAGGCTCTTAGTCTGGAGGCAATCTCTCTGTATGTTTTCATACAGTTGTACATTTGGGGACACAAATTTGACCCTAATACGTGTGTGCGTGTGCGTGTATGTGTATGTGTTCTCATGCAGTTGTACATGCAAGCCAGAGGACAATCTTGGGTGGCATCCACGTTTTTACTTTTCTTAAGACAGGTCTTTCACTGGCTCAGAACTCACCAAGTAGACTGGGCTAACTGACCAGCAAGCAGCGAGCCCCAGAGATCCTTTTGTCTCCACTTCCCTTGCTCTAGGATTACAAATGCTCCCTTTTGTCTGGATTTTTTCATACGTAGCTTATTTTTTTTAAAGTGGATTCTAGAATTGAACTTGGGTCCTCACGGTTGCAAGACAAACACTTCTCCAACTGAACTGTCTCCTCAGCCTGCAGAAGGCATTTTAAAGGAGAATCCTTGTAGCTCATGCCTGTAATACCAGCTCTTGGGAGGCTAAGGCAGAAGGACTACTGTGAGTTCCAGGCCAGCCTGGGCTACAATGTGAGACCCTGTCTCAAAAATAATAAAGCAGAGGGTGAAGCATATGAGGTCCTTGTGCCTAGGAAGAAAAAAGTTCATGACTGCAGACTAAAGAATTTGTGAAAACTCAGATTTTAAATTGTTCCCAAATTATCATCAATTCGTTATTGTGGTGGGAAGGGGAATGGTTAGTTGACTTATTTGTTTATTTATTTTTAGTAGAAGCTACACAGTAGTCTAGACCATTTATTTCCTTTCTCCTGGAAATGTTAAGGAAAGATAGAGGGAGGAAGACTCCCAGTTTACTGGTAGGTTCTTCTAAGAAATGGTTCCTTTGACAGGAAAACTATTGCCCACATTTCCTGTGGAATTGGGGTTACATATCCAAATAGTCAACTTTTCCTAGGCAAGAATATACAGTATATGGATTTGTTACATGCATATGAATTATCTAAAGTCAAGAGCAGTTAGAAATTGTTTTTGTGGGGGCTGGAGAGGTGGCTCAGTGATTGAGAGCAGTAACTCCTCTTGCAGAGGATCCAGGTTCAATTCCTAGCACCCACCTGGCAGGTAACAACCATCCATAACTCCAGTTCAGGGTATCCAATACCCTCTTCTGACCTCCACGGGCATTGCTTGACATGGGTGCATTTAAACATACTCGAGCAATACATTCATACACATAAAATAGATAAATAATAAATATTAAAAAAGAGATTGTGCCGGGCATGGTGGCACACGCCTTTAGTCCCAGCACTTGGGAGGCAGAGGCAGGCAGATCTTTGTGAGTTCAAGTCCAGCCTGGTCTACATAGTGAGTTCAGGTCAGCTGGGACTATAGGGAGACCCTGTCTCAAAAAGACCAAATAAATAAATAAATAAATAAATAAATAGATAGATAGATAAATAGGAAAGAGATTGTTTTTTGTTTGGAAGTATATCAAGATGACTTTGTGTTTGTACCGGCAGTTGACATATCTGAAGAAAGAAAGATATAAAATGAAAAGAGAGGCAGAGACTTAGTTGGTTAGCAGTCTTTCAGAGTTGAATTTTTTCTGTAAGCTCATGGAAAACAAAATAAATCCCTACATTCTTTTGTTATTATTTTTGATAAGCCATTACATACTTAGAGCTTTGCAGTCATTTTCTATGAACACCCAGCATTCATTCATCTGTAAGTGACCTGTAGTGTGGGAGCTGGTGTGCAGAGAATACAAAGTCATTGACAAATCCCATTACTTAACCAATAAACTAGAGGCTTGTTTCCAGAACAAAGAGTCTTACCCAAGAGGTAGGGGAAGTTTCACCTTATGCCTAACTGGCAGTGAGGAAAAGAGTCCCATTAGCTCTTTTGGCATTAGTTATTATAGGTATGCCTCCTCCACTTCAGTGCCAAAATGCAAAAGAATCCTTCAAGCCTTCTACCTTTCTGTTTCCTTTATTTATACAGTACAAAGCTTACTAAGGGAAAATAAGGTTGTGCTTTCCTGATAGACAGCGTCCCACTACAGTGCAAGGAGGCATAACCCAGCCTCCTAGCCTCTGCTTGCTCCTTTTTTAACAGGCAGCCAACTTCTGTTTAGGTATATTAATGCTAAAACATGACATATTCAGATGTGTTTGGGATCTTCACTTTCCACCCAGTAAGCTGTGCATGCCCTCCCTGTGGTCCTAGGTTACAACCTGTTAGCTTGTCTGCAAAATTGTGCTTATATTTCTCCCCTTCTCCAAGCTATGACTTAGGCATAGAGAATCGAGATGCTACCAATGACCAGGTCACCAAGGATGCCGCAGAAGCTATAAAGAAGTACAACGTTGGTGTCAAGTGTGCGACTATCACCCCCGATGAGAAAAGGGTAGAGGAGTTCAAGTTGAAACAAATGTGGAAGTCACCAAATGGCACCATCCGAAATATTCTGGGTGGCACTGTCTTCAGGGAAGCTATTATCTGCAAAAACATCCCCCGGCTGGTGACTGGCTGGGTAAAGCCCATCATCATTGGGCGTCATGCCTACGGGGACCAAGTAAGTCATTTGGACACAATTTGATTTCCCATATTCATTTTTTCATGGCCCTGCAGTTCCATTTTCTTTGTGCTTTTTAAAACATTTTTTTGAATTTTTATTTTATATGTGTGAGTGTTTTGTGTGCTTGTATATAAGTGTATGGTGTGCATACAGTGCCTGCAGAGGCCAGAAGAGGGTGTCAGGTCCCCTGGAACTGGAGTTAACAGATAACCATCAGTTATAAAAGCCTTAACCCCCATGTAAGTGCTGGGAACAACCTCTACAAGAGCAGCCAGTGCTCTTAACTGCTGCACCATCTCTCCAGTCCCTAATTTCTATGCATTTTGTTCTTTTGCTATCCATGCCCTTAATAAAGGAGAGACATGAGCCGGGCGTGGTGGCGCATGCCTTTGATCCCAGCACTGGGGAGGCAGAGGCAGGTGGATCTCTGTGAGTTCAAGGCCAGCCTGGTCTACATAGTGAGTTCCAGGACAGCAGGGGCTACAGAGAGAGACCCTGTCTCAAAAAGACAATTAATTAATTAATTAATTAATTAATTAATTAATAGATAAAATAAAAATAGTAAATAAATAATGAATAAATAAATGGCACAACATTGAGAAATGCAGCTATGTGTATGTAGCTGTATTTACATAGGTTTAGGAAAAGCTAAATACAGATACTGTCAATTAACACTCATCTCAGCACATGACTTTTTTCCAAGCGTATCTTTAACCTTTTGTTGTTATTCATATGGTATTGTCGTTCTTTGTGGATCCTGTAGGCGCCCAAATTAGTGGTTGTGAGTGCTGACCACAAATGGGATCCTTCAGGAATTCTTGTTGTTGATGGTTTTGCTGTTGCTCTGCTTCTTTGGTTTGTGTATTTTACGTCAATAGAAGTCCTAGCCTATAGCTGCTGAAATCTGAATTTTGTATGATTTGGGCTTTTTAAAACACCCCCCCCCCAATCCCCAACTGATTCTAATATGCAGATTGGTTGAGAGCTATGAAACATTATATTGAAACTGAACACTTCATGAATAAAAAGAAAATCACTCCGTAGTTGAAATTAGTCTTGTCCTGCTTAGAAGACATTCTGTCCTGCTTGGAAAACAAGGGTCGTTTCTGTATTTCCACAAATAGGCTCTTTGCCTCAAGTTCCAAGTTCTGTGTTGAAGCTAAAGTTTCAAATTTTCAAAGAAAGTAGCTTATAACTTAAACTGAACCTTAAAAAACAGGAATCCATAAGGCTGACTTCCAGAGGCTTCCATGGAGTCATCCCTGAAAACAGCCTGGCTACAGCAGATGTCTCCGGAGTTCCTCGAACTAGCGAGGTGCACTAGCTAGGTCCTGGAGGGGTCACATGACTTCTGTTTCACACCGTGGCTCAAGCCATCTCTTCATGCTGGCCAGCTCAAGTCCAGATTGAAACTTTGAAACAGCATGTTGGTTTGCTATTTATATGTTTATAGAACTATACAGTGCATTTAAAGTGCTTCTAGATGCCTCCCTTTATTCCTTTTGAGAAATGGGAATCAATTACCACCATAGTAAAGAACTTTCTGTGTCAAAAGTGTTTAATCTTTATTGTTATCTCACTGCTCTTTCACCCACTATTGTTAGGATTTCTGTAAAGCAACAGGTGTGACCAGCACTTGCCAGTCCCTGACTCCTAGACACTAGATAAAGTAGATCACTGAAAAAGTTCTTCAGTGGCTTGTGCCTACACATTCTCCAACTAGAGTAGTTTGGGCTCACTAAGGAAGAACTGTTCCTGAACAGCCCCCTTAATTTCTTGGGTTCATCAGCCAGTCACTACTGCTTCCGGAATGGCTGCTTTATGTGGGCATAGGTCTGGTGTTAGTATCAGAGATAACCACAGAGAGACTGAGCCCTGAAAATCTGAGGGCCACGCCCCAAGCCTTTTGACCTTGATGCATTATTTCCCTGGTTCCTTCTGGTAAGATTGATGTAAGAATCAAATGTGCTTGGCACTCGGCTTCTGGCTTAGAATGAGGACAAAGATAGGCTCTGTCAGCATTGTCTTCAGTACCCTCGCTAGTGTCGGCAGACCTTCAGAAAGCCTTCTCTGATCTCCAGTCCATGGTCTTGGTCATCTTTATTCACTGTCTCATAGTGTTGTTTTTCTATGCCCCCTCTATTCCTTCTCACCTCTGTTTGCCTTTGCTAGGTTGTAAGTGTCCTAAGGGAGAGTGCCAGTGATAGATGGTTTTATCAACTTAACACAATCTAGAATCACCACAGGAGAGAGTCTGAATGAGAACTGCCTAGACTAGATTGATCTATGGGCATGTCTGTGAGGGATTTTTCTTAATCAGGTTAATTCAGGTCGGAAGACCCATCTTGAATGTGACTGGCATCATTTCAAGGGCTGGGCCTTAGCCTGGATGAAAGGAGGGAGCAAGCTGGGAGTGAGCATGCATGCATTCTGTTCCTGATTGTAGAGATGATGTCACCAGCTTCTGCTGATTTCCTACTATGATGGACTACAGCCTAGAACTGTGAACCAGAATAAACCCTTCTTCCCTGAATTGCTTTTGATAAGGTATTTTACCAATGAAATAGGAAATGAAACTAAGACAGTGCCTTGTTATCTCTAAATTAATGCCTGTAAAACTGCCCTGTGTATGGTAGGCACCTGATAAAATTTATAGGATTTTTGTTTTGTTTTGCTTTGTTTTAGACAGAGTCTTCACTGTTTAGCCCTGGTTGGCCTGGAACTCATTATGTAGACCAGGCTGGCCTTGGCATCACAGAGAGCCACTGCCTCTGCCTCTCAAGTGCTGGGATTAGAGGCGTGTGCTCGCATACCCACTGATATAGATTTTAATGTGCACTAACACTAGCTAGTAGAACTCCCTGGACTTCTTCCCCATCTTTAACAGAACATCAAGTTACACTGCTGGAGCAATAATCTTTTTTTTTTTCCTTATAATTCTTGGTGGGATATTTTTCCTAATAAACTTCCTTCTTCACAGTACAGAGCAACTGATTTTGTTGTTCCTGGGCCTGGAAAAGTAGAGATAACCTACACACCAAGTGATGGAACTCAAAAGGTGACATATATGGTGCATAACTTTGGAGGTATGTATAAGTCCATCATAAACTTTGTTTCATTTTAACAAATGATTTAGGCAATCGTACTACTGGTCTTTTGAGCCTAGCTATATGAATGCCTAAAAAGGCAACCTTACTCTACAACATTTCTGCAGATTATCAAAGTCTAAAATAAAAAAGTGGTTAGATCTCATACTTCCCCATGGCACAAAGACATAGAGGGGTTAGCCTAGCCACTTAGCTAGAAATGCATACAAAGACAAGTAAATATGCATTTGTCTCAGAAAACAGAGGAGAGATTCTCAGCAATCTGTTGCTGTGAATTATACAAATTAAATGTTAATAGCTCCAAATTTCCTGTCTTATGACATTGCCCTTGCTTTGGTAGGCTTTGTATTTGCAATTGACTTCATTCTTTTCTAAAATTTTCTTTTTGCCCTTCTGGGAATCTATGCTGTAAAAGTAAAACTTTTACTTTTTCTCCCCATCTTAGTCGGATTGGAGGCGTGGCTCAGTGGTAGAGAATTTGCCTAACATGTGAGGACCACACACACAAAAAGTAAAAAAAAAAAAAAAAAAAAAAAAACCTTCCAGGACAAAAAAAAAAAAAAAAAAAAAAAAAAAAAAAAAAAAGCCTTCCAGGCATTTCAAAGTCTCTTTGGGAAATAGAAGCTGAATATTAGGCAAAAAAGACATATTAGGGTTTAGAAAGGTGCTTTAGTGGATAAGGCATTTGCTGTACAAACTCAAGGACCTGAGCTTGAATTTCCAAGAACCATATAAAACTAGATGCAATAGCATTTCTGTTATCACATGCTCCTTCCCCAAAGTTCCCAGCCAGGTAGCCTGGCACGGCACACAGCAACAAGCAAAAGACCTATCTCAAACAAGGTGCAAAGCAAAAACCAATGCCTGGGGTTGTCCTCTGACCTCCATACATCATTGTGCCATGCATGCACACACACACATGCACACGCACATACACGCACAGACCTCATACATATACACACATACACAATTTTTTTAGGTGCATTAAGGCAAATCCATCCAAAAGTCTGAAAGCACTTTTAGAAACAGGAAACCTAGAACCTCCCTAGCTTTTATTTCCTTGTCTCCTCTAGGCAGTAGCGTTTGAATAGAATCTAGTTCCGCAAGTTTTAGTATTTTTCACTTTCTCAGCTAAGTTAGCCCTGGGCTTTGGCATGGGTTCTCACTTTCAGTAATAACAGGTCAATTAATTAGTAAGAGTTGTGAAACACCCCAGTGATGACATGTAACATAATTATTTCCACCAATTACCATGGGTGTGTGTGCTCAGTATCCTCAGGAAGTGAGAAGATCTTCATTCACTAGTGAAAATGCAAACCTTTCTCAGTGACTTGAGGATTGAGTACATCCCCAAGTTTAAAATCCTTGTTGGTGTCTGGGGAGATGGCTCAGCAGGTAAAGTGTGCTTGCTATGTAGCAAGAGTTCCAGTTCTCAGAACCCACATAAAAAGCCAGACACAGTAGCATATGCCTCTAATCCTAGTGCCCCTACAGGGAGATGGGAGGCAGAGACAAGAAAATTCCTGGAAGCGCATGGACTAGATAATTTGGCCTTCCAGCAGCAAAAAACAAGAGAGATCCTGCCTAAAGCAGGGGAAGGTGAAGACTGACACCAGAGATTGTCTTCTGACCTCCACACACATGCCATGGCATGTACACACCTGCGTTCATCATACACACAAGACAAAAAAATAAAATACATGTTGGAAATTGTTAAAATATATTAAGGGCAGTTCCAAATTATTTTTTCCATTCTTGAGTATATCTCTAGTTCACATCAGTAGTTTTTGGTAGTTCAAGATCTAAATACCATGTTTTTCTTGCTGCAATTGCCCTTCCAAAATATATTAGAACATCCTTATCTAGAACTGACTTTTATCTCATCTGTCCCTGGGGATGCTAGAGACTGCTCAAGTTGGAAGTCAGCCTGGAATTTCAGTGCAGGTCCAGTCATGGCTGCTGGGAATTGGTCCTTTGTTATTGTGACTGGGTTTAGCCTTATTATAAATACACCATCTTTACCTTTCTCCCCTTTCCTCTCTGGTTTCCCCTCCACAGAAGGTGGCGGTGTTGCTATGGGCATGTACAATCAAGATAAGTCAATTGAAGATTTTGCACACAGTTCCTTCCAAATGGCTCTGTCCAAGGGCTGGCCTTTGTATCTGAGCACCAAAAACACTATTCTGAAGAAGTATGATGGGCGTTTCAAAGACATCTTTCAGGAGATCTATGACAAGTAACTTCAGTTCTTTTATCCTTTTTCTTTCTTCATGTAAGCTGGCATTTATGGTACAGATCCTAGGCCAGACTGAGCAAGCATCATCACTAGCCTTTATATTAGGTGAGGGCAGATCTGAGATTTAGCAGCTCTGAAACAAAACCACTCTGAGGTGCTCTTAGAAAGTACATGTGTTCTTAAATAAGGGCCCCATAATTTTTTTGCGGGGGGGTAGAGGCAGGATTGTTTAACATTTGAATAAAAATATCCTGTTAGTAATAGAAAGTTCTGATGTTTCAAAATCTGAGTCGGTCCTATTTCCTTTCTTTCTAAAGACCATTGTTATGATTGAAGGGTCTGCTTTAGGCTATCATTTGAACTTAAGTCTAGGTTTATGACAGTTTTCAGTTTGGCTACACATGAGGTAAGTGTATGTCAAGTCTTACCATGGTATAACCCCCTGTTAGGAGCAAGTGTTCAGGTGGGATTTAGAAATTAGATGAGAGGGGCTGGAGAGATGGCTCAGCAGTTAAGAGCACTGACTGCTCTTGCAGAGGACCTGGGTTTGATTCCTAGCACCCACATGGCAGCTGCAAACTGTCCTTAACTCCAATCCCAGGGGAATCCAAAGCCCTCTTCTGACCTCCTTGGTCATTGCACAACACAGGTGCACTCACATACATGCAGGCAGTACACTCACATACATGAGCCCATGTCTGTCAGAGTCCCAAATCTGCTATTTCTACTAAAACCATTGTTTCCTGTCACTTTTGGGAGATGGCATTCCTAACAAAGCTAATTTCCTTTCTTGTTCTTGTTTTCTCTTATTTATTTTTTTTAGGCAGTACAAATCCCAATTTGAAGCTCAGAAGATCTGGTATGAACATAGACTCATCGATGACATGGTGGCCCAAGCTATGAAATCAGAGGGAGGCTTCATTTGGGCCTGTAAAAACTATGATGGAGATGTACAGTCAGACTCTGTGGCCCAGGGTAAGCAGCCAGAGGACCATGTGAGGGAGTTCCAGAGGCGGGCAGGGAGGCAGTTCCATAGCATTCTCTAGTGTGAGAGGGAATTGTATAGCCCTTAATTGTGAACTTGGGAAATCTTAGTGCTGCAAGCTGTGCAGCCACATCATTTCATGTGGTCCATAAGGGCATTAAGCTCCAGCTGGGCAAGTGGCTTTATGCAAAGTCACACAGAAAGGACCTAGGTGAGTAACAAATATAGCTCACAACGAGAATATAAAAAGAAAACCTGACAAGGAAGGGTAAAGTGAGGAGCACCAGCCACCAAAGGTGGGGCCTCCAGGAGCTCAGTCCTCCAACACGACAAGTCTCAATCATGTTCCTCCTGCCAGTGTTGAAGGTCTTCTGATAGTCTACAACACAAATGTTTGCTGCTTAGTTTCTAACGCAAAAGAAGTAAGCAAAGCCTGAGGCTGTTGCACAGAAATGCCAGGAACCAGAGGCTTTGTGCCAACCAGATAAATCCACAGAAATCTTTCCTGATTTTTTTCAGCACCAAATTGCTTTTCAGTTTCAGGTCTGTGTGAAGTAGCTCTGTGAAATTGAATTTCTCCAGGTAACTGTTTGTGTTAACGCAAATGATGTTTACTTTTTCCCCAGGAAGTACTGCTTTCTCTCTAATGAAAGCCAAACATCTCTAATCAGTTGGGAAATCAATAGACTGATCCAATTGAAGATAACTTTAATATCAGATATCAGAGTTACACAACTTTCTTGTACCCTCCTGTTTGTCCAGAACCTCATACAATTGTGTATACCAGATGGACAAAAGGAGCACTGCTTTATGATGACCTTGTGGTAGATAAGGAAAACCATTCTTTGTCGTCAAGAGTTCTGGAAAAGGGACAGTCATTCTGAGGCTTTGTACATGCCAAGTAATCTGTATTGAGAGGGAAATCCCCAGATCCAGTGTTCTTAAATGTTTTGTGGTCACAGAAACAAAGTATCTAGAAAAACATTTTGAGTTCTAAAGTGTGCTGAGTCCTGATAACAGACCTAGCCAAGAACTTGTGTTTGTCCAGAGCCTATAAACCAAATGATCTGAGAGAGCCAAACATATTACAGGCAGCAGAGCCATCTTCCCATTCATTCTGGCGAGGATACTTGCACCTTTTCATTGACGTTCCAGTTTGACGGTGGCATAGAGTAGGGTGGAGAGCAGGTCAGACGCATGGTTAAGGCCCTGAGCTCCATTAATGAGTCCCTGTGTGAGCGTCTGGAGCCTCGGGATAACAGAGTGAACTGGAAAGAACTGCTGGTCCCACACAGACATGTCTTTCCTTTTTGAAATTCTTTACCTTTGTTTACCAATCTCTAAATAATGAGTTGATCTCTGTGTTAGACTTTTTTTTTTTAATCCATTACAGAATGCCTGCGATAACAACTTAAGGAAAGGAAAGGAAAGACTCACTTCACTGATGTCCAAAATGATCAAAAAATAGAGGCTGACAAGATGGCTCAGCAATTAAAGGTCCCTAGCACCAAGCCTGGTGATCTGAGTTTGCTCTCTGGAACCTACATGGTAGAAGGAGAGAACTGACTCCTGAAGGTTGTCGTCTGACTTTAACACACACACACACACACACACACACACACACTCTGAAATAAATGTAATAAAAAGTTTTTAAATTCGGGCCTAGATGGCTCATGGGTTAAGAGAACTGGCTGCTCTTGTAGAGGACCCAGGTTTGGTTCCCAGCACCTGCATGGTGGCTAACAACTGTCTGTTAGCTCCAGTTCCAGGGGATCCAACACCCTCTTCTGACCTCCTTGGGCAATGCACGACAGAGATGCACTTACAGGCAATACATTCATACACATAATAAAAATAATAGAAAGTTATTTTAAAAGTTTTTGAACGATAAAAAAGCATTTTCTTGTCTCAGACCAAAAAAACAGGAAACCTAGCAACCTGCTTATAATCTGTTTATTGTAAGTTTATATCATTAGCTTCATAGGTAGTCATGGGAGATAGAGAAAACGAAGAAGGAGGTGCTTTGAGATCAAGTGAAGAATGCATAAGAATGCAGTTGTATACTTAAAAGCTAGAGTATGGTTCTCTGCATAGAAACCACAGAAAAGAATTTTTTCTCAACAGTGTTAAGAACAACAATAAAAACAAGTGTGATGTTCTTGGGTTCAGCCCTTCCTGTTTTTAAACAGCCTTTTCTTTCTCATCCCAGAAATCCGAGTATGTTAAGAGCAATAGCTACTGCTCTTTAATAGTAATTCTCCAGAAGAAAAAGAACATACTCTTCTCCACATGATAACAGTATATTGAGCTCTTACTTGGTAGCAAGTGTTAGTCTCAGAAATAGAAAATAGAATCACATATTCATGATTTTATGCATATTCCTCTAACCCCACATCAGCTCAATGAAATAGGTGCTCTTAATATTTCCATTTTATTGGTAGGAAAACTGAGTCATGGGCTCCATGAAGCCACAGAAGTAGAATGGAGTATAGTCAGACCCCCTCTATAACAAAGCAGATGCTCCTAAAATAAGAGAAGAGAGTAGTCTTTCCAGATACCTTCTCTCAGACCTAGAGCTGGGGCCCTGCTCTCTGATGAGCAGAAGCGTTATTGATGATTGCATGTGCTCCTGCTTATTTTGTTTATCATGACCTGTCAGCACTGAGTCACTTGTTCTCCTTTCTGAGATCAGTGTTCTTCATGCAGTTGGACCCAACACTTCATGCTCTGTCATTTGTAGGTTATGGCTCCCTTGGCATGATGACCAGTGTGCTGATTTGTCCAGATGGCAAGACAGTAGAAGCAGAAGCTGCCCATGGCACTGTGACCCGTCACTACCGCATGTACCAGAAAGGACAGGAGACATCCACCAATCCCATTGGTAACATGGTGTCTTCCTTACTGATTTCTACCCAGCGAGCTTTTCAAAGGCAGTGTCCAGAGGTGCTTAGACACGTGCCTCAGGCTGCCCAGATTCCTGTGCAAAATCATCAGCAACTTTGCTGATTTATTAGTACTAGTAATAAGTTTTACAGTTTGTTTTTGTTTTGTTTGGGGGATGAATGGTGAGACAGAGTCTCACTATGTACCACAGGCTGACCTCTACCTGTAGTAGTCCTCCCGCTTCTGCCTGCCAAGTGCTGAGATTACAGCAGTATGCCACCAGGCCTGGCTATTAGGAGCTGTTTTAATGTCCTTAAAAGTACACAAGTGTGGTTTTCTGTTTTGTGGGAGAGTAAACATTACAGAAAGGAAAGCATTTACCTTTACCTTTGGTGCAATGAACTGTCACTTAAGGCCGCAAATCTAAACGCCATATGGATAGAGCCCTCTAACCTAGCTCAAAGGACACTAAAAAGAGATGAGAGGCAGGGATGAGACCAATGAAGTAAAAAGATGGCAAAAGTATAGACAAAGACCTTTGCTAAATCAGTAAATACCTTGAGCTTGAATCGCTAGTACCATACCATTAAGACATGTTTGCTTGTTTTCACGTTTCTGTTTGATAAAATACTTCCAACTTTCCTAATATGTTCATCCCTAATTCATAGTCTCTACTGAATCCCATTACCTAAACAAAAACCTACTCTGTTTCTGGAAACAGTGAAATCCTTGGGAATCCCTGCAACTAGAGTGATCAAGATGTAGACATTTTGCTTCTCGTTTTGTAGCTTCCATTTTTGCCTGGTCCAGAGGGCTGGCCCACAGAGCAAAGCTCGATAACAATGCCGAGCTCAGCTTGTTTGCAAAGGCTTTGGAAGAAGTCTGCGTTGAGACCATTGAAGCCGGCTTCATGACTAAGGACCTGGCTGCTTGCATTAAAGGTTTACCCAAGTAAGCATAGATGCCTTAAACTCTGTGGTCAAATTACTGCTTTCTGGAATTATATGAACTGTTATTCATCATCTTCTTATGGGCTGGCATGTAGTACCTGTATATTGTCAGAGAATGTACCTGTTCAGCACTGTGGGAGGTATAGTGTTTTCACAACTACTCAATTTTACATTTGCCATTGCAGCAGGAAGTGGTCATAAATAATACAGAAATGCATGAGCACAGCAGCCTTCCAACTCCTATGCACAAAACTAGGCTACAGGCTAGTGTTGGTGCTTGGGCTGGGCTCTAATTTGCTGACTTATGATCTATTTGGCAATCACAGAAGTGAAGGGCTCTATTTAATTTTAAAAAGAAAATGACACACAAGAAGAAAGAAAGAGAACTTAGAGACTAGTTTATTCTACCTTTTTTGTTTTCTTTAATTTACAAATGAGGAAAGTGAACAACATGTGTGTCAGTATAAGCTTTCCAATTGATATCATCCTTTGCTGAAGTGTCTATAACCAACAGAGAGGGCCTGTGCGTTGCCAGGATGGTTCTGAGGACACTAGAGCCGGCATCCCAGCTGGAAAGGCTATTAGTTAGAATCTTCTCTCAAAGTCAGTTAGTTACTATGTCTCACCTTAAGAAATTCTACTAAAATTTAACACTAATGCCATGTCCTCCACCGGTGTATCCCCAGAGATCTCTGTTCCAGCCAGTTAGCCTAGTAAAGGGGTGGACTCAGTTACTTTATGTTTCTTAAATCTCCAGTAAAATACAGTGAAATGTTCTTATGGGAATAGTTTTTTGTAGCTTCTTTGTTAGACATTTACCAGTAAGCTTCTGTCAGCCAGTCTGTGCCTTTTGTTTTTAAGACACTGATGAAAATATGAACAGTACAGCTTTTCTGAAGGACATGAAACAGTGTATAGGAATGAGGGTAGAGGCATGGCTGTACCCTGAGTGGGTTTTGTTATTTCTAAGAATAAAGAATAAGAAGTAGGGTGATTTCAGTCTTGTTGGCATTAGCCTGAGCTGAAGCTCTTGGTAGTTTCTCGTTCTAAGTCACAAGCAAGAGGCCATGAATGCCTACTTGTACACAGCTCCACACAGGCCACCCAGAGCCTGGTCCTGAGCCTGGTCACTCCAGGGCCTTCAAGCACAATCATCATTGGTGGATTTGTAGCTGCTTAACATTAATCAGTTTTCTTCCTTTTTTGTTTTTTTGTTTTAACTACCTCCTACCACATTAGACAGAAACTAAATTTCCTTCTTTTCTCCTCCTACTAGTGTGCAACGCTCTGACTACTTGAATACATTTGAGTTCATGGACAAACTTGGAGAAAACTTGAAGGCGAAGCTAGCTCAGGCCAAACTTTAAGGTCAAACCTGGGCTTAGGAGGACAAGTGTTTTGGTAACTAGGTCCACAGGTTTACTTTTTTTTTTTTTTATAACACTCAAGGATAAAGACAAAAATCAATTTTGTAATTTTGTTTTGAAGACAAAGTTGATCTTTTCTATAAGTTTACAGTCTTTTTCTTTTTCATATAGTTATTGCCACCTTAATGAATGTGGCAGGGAACTTTTTTAAAAACTGTATTTTATTTTGTAGGTGCAGCCTCGGCATTACATTGATCCCCTTCACAGTGACTGCCCCTCTTTCTCTTGTTCTAATATAAATGACCAAAATCAGAAGTGCTTGAAAGGGTAAACAACACTATTGTTCCCTAAAACAGGTGAGGAGGGAACCCCCTCACTGCCCCTGTGTCTATGAGCATGGGCACTGGGAGGTTTGGGATCTGCCATTGCGTGAGGCAGATCTGTACAGTGAGCTCACACATGACTAGAACAAAGAGAATGAGCGTAGCTAAAACATGTTGAGACTGCAGCCATGTTTATAAAGAGCTTGTTATTAAGTATGTCCAATATACTACATATTCTTGAGGCCATGTGAGAGTTCAGAATCTAGAGTAAATACGGCTGGAGGCTTGCCCTCTGTGTCTTCTCTTTGTGCTCTGGCCTGGCCTGAGTAGTCTCCTGCCCTAAACAGCACATTTCATCTGTGTGCAATAATGTAAGCTGCACCTTTTTTGGACTTCTGCTGGCCCATTTCATTTCTTTTATATAAATGTGATTTTTCCAGAAGTTCATGTTAAACACTATCTCTGTTCTTCATCTAAACTGTTAATTTTAATTAAAATTAAGTACTAATGACCCTTCTAAGTGTGTATTTATTGTGTGTGATTAGATGCTGTCTTTGTTTTTTCGTATTGCTGTGATAAAATATCCTGATAAAAGCAACTTAAGGGAGAGTTTATTTTGGCTCACAGTTCAAGCTGATCATGGTGAGAAGTCAAGGCAGCAGGAGCTTGAAGCAGCTGGTTACTTTGTGTCCACCACCAAAGAGCAGAGAGCAATGAATGCCTGTCAGTGTTCAGCCTTCCTTCTTCATTTGCTATAGCTCAGGATCCCTTGCCCAAGGAATGGATATGCCCACAACCAAGGTGGGTCTTCCCACTGCATTTAACAGTGATAAAGATAATCCTTCACAGGCATGCCCAGAGGCCCATCTCCCAAGCGATTTCTCTCAAGTTGACAGTTAACAATAGCCATCACAGAGGCCAAGCACCAGACTACCCTAGCCATAGGAATCTGACTTGAAAAAAATTTTCTACCCTCAAGAAGTTTACCTTGGGAGAAATGGGCAAGTAAACAAATAATGAGAGGTGAATCTCCAGTGAAAGGAATGACGACCAGCAGACAGACCCAAGGAGTAGCTGTAGACTATTAAGAGAACAGACACTGCTGTGCTGAGGCATTCAGGCTTTACCTTGTAAGCCGGTAGGGAGCCAGTGAAGACTTAAGGAGGAAGAGACATGATTGTATTTTCATTTTCAAAATAGCACTCTGAGAGGCATTTGTAAAGAATAAGTGGTAGGAGACTGGAGAGGTGGCTCAGTGGTTACAAGCACTGGCTACTCTTGTAGAAGACCCGGGTTCAATTTTCAGCACCCACATGGCAACTAACAACTGTCTATAACTCCAGTTCCAGGGGATCCGACACCCTTTTCTGGCCTCTGTGGGCATTGCATGACATAGGTACACTTACATACATACAGGCAAAACACTCACACACATTAAATAAATAGGTAATAAATAAATAAAATACTTAAAAAGGAAAATATTCTAAAAGAACTTCTAATATGGTCTCTGTTCTTTAATTATAAGTTGTATTAGCTAATGCTGCTGTTATAAAAAGTACTACAGAGTAGGAGGCTTAAATAACATTGATTTTCTTGCAATTCTAGGGGCTGGAAGTCTAAAATCAGAGTGTCAGCAGGGTTACTTTATTTGCAACCTCTTTCCTTCACTTGTGTGTAACTGTCTCCTCACCGCATGTTCACGTGTCCTTCCTGTGTCTAATCTCTTCTTGTAGAGCCATCGTATTGGACTAAAGTTCAACCTTATGGTCTTCTTTTAACTTAATTACCCCTTTAAATAGCTTGTCATCTCTGCAATATGGTGGTTACTACTCCAACAGATGAGTTAGAGCTGAACTTAACAAGAGGGACAAAATTCTGCCTTCTAACATGATGTGTTTCTTGACTTGTTCTCATGGAGGATTTTGATCTCATATGTTTTGAAATTCTCATCTCCACTTAGTGTTTAATTGCGGAAATTCAGCGAGGTTGGACCAAAGGTGTATCCCTACAGAGCAGATTTATCCATACCAATGACAGTCACCCAGCTTGGGCTTTTCTGGACTGTGTGGGCCATGTAAATGCCAACCCCACATCTTTGTGAGGCAGAAGCCTATGGTTACAAGTTATCAAAGGGGACCTTTTATTCTATCTAAATTATGGGGTGTTGAAGAGGGGAGGTTATCTACCCTTTCATTAACTGTATAGCCCCTTGGAAGTCCACATTATGCATAAATATCAATTAGAGCTTCCAATTCTTCAGGCTTGACCACCCATGGGATTGTGCAGCCATGTCCAAGGAGCACAAAGCTTACTCTTTGTTACAGACACTGGTAGCCTCTCCTTCATTCTCCCCACTCCTTTCTACCCCAACTTGATCATAGTATGAACTGATTATTTCACATCTGTTCCCTCTGGTTTTCTTGCACCAGTAGCTTCCACACAGTAACTCCATTTATCCAGCATTTCTAGGCGAGCACTTTGATCAAAATAAAAAGTAGAATGATGAGTTCGTTAGGGTTAGAGGTGAGTCATGAATATTCTCTGCTAAGAAATGTTTATTTTAGATTTTTTTGGTCCCCCATTAGATGTTTAAATTTTTATTTCTGTGGATTTTTAGTGACTTTTTATTTATTATTAGTTATTATGCTTGGAAAC